CTTCCTTTTTTATTATTATTTCATATCAATCTGATCACTAGTTTAAAATACACATGTTGATAACAAAATCACAATTAAAAACAATAATAAACAATTAATTTAATCACAATTTAATTCTTAACACAAAAACACGTTTCCTAAAAAAAGACCTTCTTAGGGACAATTTCCTAATTAAATTAATATTCAATTGATTTGACTTCAACTTGATTTGAACCCAAAATCAAAGAATCGGGAATCAACTAATCGAGCTTGGTGAAACAACTTTTTAGTCTAAACTCGGAATCGGTCTGATCTCAGGATTAGATGATCACTGCTTTTAATTACGGTTGGTGAATATGGGCCTTACAACATGAAGTAAATATGATCAACCAGAAACTAAGTGTTTCGAGTTGATCATATTGTGATCATATTCTTATTAACTAGTGTTTAATTCAATGAAGTTAATCAATAGATTCTCTAGAGTCTAATTAAAGTAATAATGAAAAAAATGATCAAATTAGTGTTAATTATTGATTAAAATGAATAAACTAATCACTGCCATTTATCGTGTACGCGATTTGTTCGCGATCAATGTAAACAATTAATAGCAATTAATCAAAGTTTAATATTGATATAATATTTTTACATCTAATTTAATTAAATTTAAATAATTATCTACCATTTATGATATTAAACACATTCAAGTTCAACCCATTCACGGTGTTTTACACCCTGAAACAATAAAACTCTTAACAATCAATAAACATTCAAACTAATTAAGTTAATTGATTCAAGTTTAATATGAGTATTTTTCATTAGCATTTGATTTGATTAATGATAGACCAACAGAATTTGTCTGAAATTGTTAACACATCAATTTATGTTTCTTTTCCTTAAAAATCGTCTTGTTGAACAATCAGACATTATTGTTAACGATTTGTACTTATATCCGATTTTCATCCTAAATGAATTTGTGTCAATCGTGTTAAACATTAAAATTGATTTATCTTGACATTAAACACATGAAAATTGATCTGACACAGGTAAATCAAGATTAAACTTGAAACTGTTATGTTAATTATGATTGATTATTATTGTTTGAAATTGTTTAGACTCTATTGGAATGAATTAATATAATTGTGTTAACTACTCATGATTATTGTCCATTATCATAAATAAATTTTAAATAATAGCCACAAGTTTTATCAATATTAAACTTTGATTAATTGCTATTAATTGTTTGTATTTTTTGTTTGTTTACATTGATCGCGAACAAATCGCGTACACGATAAATGGCAGTGATTAGTTTATTCATTTTAATCAATAATTAACACTAATTTGATCATTTTTTTATTATTACTTTAATTAGACTCTAGAGAATCTATTGATTAACTTAAATTATCTAGAAAAATTGATTAAAAATGAAAACAATTAAACTTATTTAATTTAAGTATCCCAACAGGAAATTTGCCAAAGTAAAATTTGGTGTTAAAATTTTCGATAATATTTATTGTAGCCCGGCTTCAGATCTTCGAGCGTTAAATCATCCAACATTTGAACTGTTCCATAAAACGAAGTACCCCAAGTTGCCCTTTGATTGGTAAAATAATCGAATGATTTTATCTCCCTTACTCACTTGGTGGACCTTCGGATGTACATTTTGTTTCCGTTGAAACTGAGACCAAATTGTCTCAAATTATTGGATAGATTATAATAAATGTACTAGGCGCTGAACTAAGATCAACCGAATAAGATGAATAATAAGACCCGCCAACACGTGAACCTGAAGAGGTTAATAAAAGAGACACTTACCTGCTAATCGATTGAACTACCGACCAATTTAAACCAATGGTCAACATTCGGCCACCATATCGAGGCTCGAATATTTTACTTTGAGGATATTCAGCTGGTTCTCTAGTGTCACTATTGGTACAAGTGATTGTGTAACAAAAATGAGGCTCATGAAGATATCGAACCAATTCAAAGGTCACACTTGAACTATCATCGGGTTCCAACTGAGTGGGAGTGATATCTTCCAACAGGGAATCCAATGGGGTTTCAATCAAGTTTTTCAATTCTTTCAAACTTTGATTTCCTAGAAATTCATTTAACTGAATCAGATGACTGTGCCTGTTTTGGTTACCGAATATTTAACCGAAATTTATATAACTGATGCTTGTATGATTTGCTTACCTAATTTTGTTATTAAACTTTTACTTTTGTTTACAATTCAGTTGTAATTGTATTTCGACTCGAGACTGTTGTACTTGATCTTCGTGGTGGATTATAATTTTTCCTTTTCTCGGTTATCTGGGCGATTGCTTCTTCTCCATTAGCATTTAATGAAGGTGACAGCAACACTCATATCTAACTTTCAAAGATGATAGACATGGAAGTATCCGATCCAAGGTTATCCAATTCCACATGATAGAGTTTCTACTGAATAAGATTTTAAGAAAATTAATTGTGATCTAATGTTCGAGTATCTTTCGAGTTCAGTTGACTGAATTTTTCGATAACTAATATGGAATGAAATTCGAGTTGAAATAAAAGTTGGTGATTAAAGATTATAATCTTATTACTGTTAGGAATAACGATGAAATGAAAGGAGAAAATTAAATGGATAATTAGATTTGATTATTTAATTTAATTGTGAAAATTGCGATTAATTTTTCAAGATGAACGAGGAAACAATTAATGTTGTCATTGGTTAACCGAGACTTTGAATAGTTGTCAGTGACAATCAATTAACAATTAAATCACCGGCTTATCAAGTACTAATATTCAATTGACTTGATGATAATTTCACAATTACACGATTCAATTATTCTCATTGTTTTAATTATTTATTTTCATCTTCTTATTAAAATCATTGATGCAAAGTTTGTTTTAGTCGATAAAAAAATTAACTTGAAGAATTACAATTAAATTGATGCAGAAAATATAATTGTAAACAAAGAGATGTAAATCAATACCGATTCAAAAAATTTTCATTACAGAGATTAATCATTTGATTGTTATTAAGTATAAAAGGAATCAAGATGATTAAGGTTAACAATTAAGTTTTAATTACTAACGAAATGAAGTCTTTGATTATTCTCGTTGCTTCTATTGGCTTTGCCTCTAGTAAAAGTGAACCTCGTTTATCCATCGGTAAAGGACTAGAACCAATGTCCGATGAGATGATTAGGCAAATTAATTCACTTGGAACTACCTGGAAGGTGAGTGTAATTAGTGTCCAATCGAATATTGAGATTAATTGTTCTTTCTTCCATAGGCCGGTAAAAACTTCGAAGGACTTCCAAGCTCTTATGTAAAGACATTACTTGGTGTTCGAGAAATTGAACCAAGCTTGACGTTACCTCGAGTTTATCAGGAAATTAACGAAGATTTACCAGTTACCTTTGATGCACGAGAAGCTTGGCCTAATTGTACATTAATTGCACTTATTCGTGATCAAGGTGCTTGTGGGTCATGTTGGGCAGTGGGTTCAGTAATAGTAATGTCCGATCGAATCTGTGTTGCGTCTAAAGGGAAAATTCAAGTTGATCTATCAATTCAAGATGTTCTCGATTGTTGTAAAGAGTGTCAAGGGGGTTGTGGTGGTGGGATTCCAAAGACAGCTTGGGAATACTATGCAGGATCAGGTATTGTCTCTGGTGGATCATATCAAGGAACCGGGTGTCTACCTTACTTGTTTCCTCCATGCCAGCGTTGAAAATCCTCGTCCTTCTTGTGGGCATCAATGTACCTCGAGTTGTGTTCCAGGCTATTTGCGATCTTACAAGGACGATAAACACTTTGGCCAGAAACCATATTCTGTTAGCGGTACACAACAAATAATGAAGGAAATTATGACTAATGGTCCAGTTACCGCTAATTATAAAGTCTACGCTGATTTCTCAGCTTATAAATCAGGTTTGTTTGGCCGAATTCGGGTCTTCAAGAACAAAATAAAAACATCTCTTTTACCGTTGTAGGTGTGTATCAACAAGTATCTGAAGATTTTCTCAGTGGACATGCAGTCAAAGTTCTTGGTTGGGGAACTGAAAATAATGTTGATTATTGGTTGGTTGCTAATTCTTGGAACACTGATTGGGGTGACAAAGGTTAGTTCTTAGGATTTCGATCAATGTTGAACTTGTAACTGGGTTAGTCTTTTTACTTTCATCAGGTTACTTTAAAATCCGACGAGGAACCAACGAATGTGGTATTGAATCTAATGTTATCGCTGGATTACCACGAATCTGAATGGATAGAGAAATGACTTGTGTGCTTTTTTTGAACACTTCAATCAAAATGTTAACTCGCTGGAGAAAATCGATATTACATCGATTAATTGCTTTCAAGAAAATCAATAAACTCTCTTTAAAATTTCATTATTTATGAAATTAATGAAAAGACTAAATAATTTGATGGATCTTAATTGAATATAACTGAAAGAATGAGAATGAGTTGAATATTTTTGCAAAAAAATTGACGATTTAAGCTGGAGACAGTTTAAGATAAAATTAAACGATGATTAAATGAGTTAATGATATCTTCCAACAGGGAATCCAATGGAGTTTCAATCAAGTTTTTCAATTCTTTCAAATTTTGCTTACCTAAAAATTCATTTAACTCAATCAGATGATTGTGCCTGGTTTGGTTACCGAATATTGTTATTTAAATAATATTGATAGTTGATCGAGCTGCTTGATTGAATGTTAGCAGAATTAAAGTATTAATACATAATGGTGTTATCATTCAGTAATTTAAAAAAATAGTAGTTCATAAGCGCTTTTAATAACCTTAAAATATACTTTGAACTATTGAATTCTCTACTTTATTTCAGCGCAGAGAATTGAATCCAGGCCCATCAAGCACTAGAATCTGCTTTCTTCCAGGAATGAAATGAATATTTTTTGATAAAGATTATTGATGTTTATCAAAATCTAGAATTCATTCAACATTCATATTTTTGTCGACTTATTTACACTTAGTACAAAACTTTCGAAAAAACTTTTAGTATGAATTAAAAATTCCATTTACTTTTCATTAATGTGTGAACCATTTATTAAACTTTTATTTTGTTTACAATTCAGTTGTAATTGTATTTCGACTCGAGACTGTTGTATTTGATCTTCGTGGTGGATTATAATTTTTCCTTTTCTCGGTTATCTGGGCGATTGCTTCTTCTCCATTAGCATTTAATGAAGATGATTTTGGAATCTTGATTGATTTAGTAATTGGTGTTGATGTTGCAAATGATGTTTCTGTTAATATTGTTGGAGGTTTACAATCAACATCGATGTTGTTACAAGCATCAACAACCGATTTCGATTTAATTGTTGTAATTTGGTTACTCTTTGTAGTTACAGTTTCCTCTGTATCAACTTCGCCATTGTCATCAATTGATTTTAATTGACAGGGGTCACAATCTAATGGTAAACTTTGAGGTGGTGCAGGTGAAGAGGAGGACGATAAAGATGAAGATGATGTTGATGTTGATGAGGTCGATTTCGTTCGTATCGATTTTGAATCTTTCTTTATTTTCTTTTCGATCGCAATCTTATCAGGACTGTTTGGCACTGATTTCTCGACAAAAACATTACCATCAATAGAAGTCAAAATTAATTCACTTTGATCTTTTCCAATGGTTTGTGATTTACTATCACTCGCAATTAATTCATTGGATAATTTATTTGGTGATAATTTTTTCTTTGTCTCTGTTGAAGATTTTAATGACGGATTTGAACTAGAGACAGTTAACGATAGAGACGAAGATGAAAGTAGAGACGTTGAAGATTGACTTTTACCACCATTAACATTATCGGTAACAGTGGATGATTCAATTTTAACTGATTCGTTTTCAATTTTTGATTTTACTTTTTGTTTACCATTCGAATGGGTTACATTAAGAGGGACAGTTGACGTCGATTTGGTACTAGATGAACTCGTTGTTTGCGGTGTCGATGTTGTTGTTGATGGTGGTGTTATTAGTGTTGTCGATTTAGATGCTATTGAAGGCGTTGATTTGGTAGACGTGGTAGATTGTGTAGATGTCCCATTCAAAGTAGTAACTGATGATGAATTTATTGATTTAGAGGTTTGAGATTTAACCTCATTATGACCAGAGTTACGCTTTACTGTTATACTTCTCGTAAAGTTACTTGTTTCCTTATCGGGTGTTTGATGTTGATTAGTTTTCGAGGAAATTGTTACCCTTCGTCGACTAGTATACCTTTGTGAGGGTCTCCGTTCAAATCTTCGTTCGGGTTCCTTGACTATTGCTCCTTGAAGGGTTGTTTGAAATTCAGTTCGACCTGAGAAACGGAAACGACTTCCCATCCTCATGAATCCTTGTTTCTGTTTAATTGGTGTAACCGTTTGACTTGATTTGAGACGGAAAAAAGCATGATGTTCAATACAACATTTCCATAAATGTTTACATGACTTAACGGTGGGCATACGGAAGACAAAGGTGTGTTCTTGTTCATGTCCTGATTCATCGTCTTCAACAACCACCAAAGTTAATTTAGTTCCCTTAAAGTCAAGTTTAATTATCTTTGGCCAGAAAAATAATCCAATCTTTGAGGTTCCAGCAAAGACCAAAATCCCGGTCGGTGTTAGGCCAAGAAAATATTCATTGCCGTCTTTACCCAATACAGTGTGCATATCGACCCCATACATTTCGAGCCATTTTGCTTTGTTAAGAAATGCATTTTCGGCTGTCGCTGGATTCATTGATGTGGTCGAAGTTGTCGAAACTTTATCCGAATTACTCGAACCACCACCAACCTAATAACAATCAAAAGGAGAGAAAAGAAAATTCAAATTAAACTGTTAAAATAGAAAATAGAAAATCGAAAAGTAAAAGTAAAAGTGAAAAGAGGAAAAATTCATTCCAATTCTTATATATAAATGATTTCTCTTCCATGATTATCAATCAAATTATTCTCACTCTAATATCATTTTTATACGAAAAAAAGAGAATTAATAAAATTTGTTTGATTCAATCAAACAATCAACCAATTGTCAGTCATTCAAATTGTATTGATTGTAAACCACAATTAACAGTAACAAAAAAAAAGTTCAAATAGTAATTAATCAAGTGCAACAACATGAATATAAATGAATACAAACATAACAATTTAAATTGTAAATAGTGAAAGTTGATTTTGATTAATTTACTACTCTAATTTTTCCGTGAAGAAAAAAAAACTAATAATATGTCAAATTGTTGAAACAGTAATTTAGGTTATGTTTAAATTGACGGTTAACAGATGATGATAACAATAAACAAACAGAAATCAACAATTAACTAATTATGATAAGTCATTGATAATAAATGACAATCTTGACAATGAAAACCAAAACTAATCTGATTGTGTTTAAGGTAATATGATAAGTTAAAAGCTTAATCATTAACAAAGAGAGATTATTGATAATAATAAAAAATTTAACGATTATAATTAAGGAAAAAAAAGATATATTAATTATTGGGGAGGTTTAATCATGGAAAGTGATATAATCATTAGCTTAATGGTAAATGTTGACTTTCTCTGTGTTGATAATGATAATCAAGAAAGAGAGAAATGTAATTGGCATCAAATGTTAATCACTATTCATAATCAATTCTGAAATTCAATTGATTGGAAAAGGATTAACTTGGATTGAAGAGGAAGATAAGTTGAGTTTATTACAGAGTTTAAGGTAAGAAATTGAATGCTGAAGGACAGGTAATCATGAGAAGGTAAAATCTAATATGATGATGATGATAGAAAATCTTATCTTCCTCTTCTTAGTCCAAAGTCTGAATATTTTATCAATATTTCTGATCAGCTATCGGTTGGTAAGACATGAAACATGAAGATTTTATATCAATAGTCAGTTGATTATAATCAAATAACGACTTAATCATAAAGGTAATGATGATGATTGAAACAGAGACAATGAATTTAGGGCAAGTTTACTTAGTGTAAAGAGGCTGATGAAGGTGGAAATTTGTGATGATCATGATGAGGGAGGAAAGAGAAGGTAATTTTATTTTGGTAGAAAAATAAAGTTACCGAAGTGAATCGAAACATGTAGAGAGTTATTAAGAACTATGGAGATGAAAAAGAGGATTTTGTGTGTATTCAACAGGTAAGTTGTTTGGAAGATGAAAAAGGGAGAAAGAGAGAGAGAGAAACCTTGACATGACAATTATCAGGAGCGATGAGAAAATAACTTTTACTCTTGAGGTAGTAGATTGATTGTTAACAATGCAACCAGAATTTCTCAATGAATAATAATATCATTAAAGTGTATGGAGAGTGAGGAATAGATGGAAATAATAAAAGAACAGGTAATAAACAATAAAAAAAAGAATAACAAAAAGTTTGTCATTCTAAGGTGTATCTTAGCTACTACTTAGCGTTGACGGTGAATTTTATCAAGGTGAAAAAGCGATTCTGGTTACATAGTTCAACAATTCATGGATAAGCTTGTCCTCTCTCTCTCTCTCTCTCTCTCTCTTACATCATCTCTCATTGGTAATAATCATTGATTAACATCCTCATTTCAGGGGAGAAAAGATGACGAACATGAGAAACAAAAAAAACATGATTTTCTCTCCCGCTTTCTTATCATCACTGATCTTTGGGATAGAAAAAGGAGTAACTAAGATGAGAGAGAGAGAAAGGAGAGAAGATATTTGAAACTTTCTCTGATGATGAAGATCATATTCTAAGGGGAGGGTAATATTATCATGAGTTGATCATCAACTCAACAAGCAATCAACTTTTTTTTCCTCAGGTAAACTGTTCACAATCTTACTATTTCTCCCTCTCACTCTCTTCAATTCTATGGTCTTTATTTCTCCTCCTTCGTCTTCCTTTTTTTTCTGGTTCTTAATCATCATCTTTCCTCTTTCGTCTCGTTTCAATCCAATTAAATGGTTTGTAAGCCTTTCACTATGATTTACTTAATAAAAAACTCGTGCTGATCAAAAGAAAAAGAGAGAGAAACAAAATTAGAGAAAATTAAAGAAAAGGAAAGAAACTTATTAACTTTCATAAAGAAGGAAACGAAACGATATTAAGGTTCATGGTAATAACGATAAGAATTGTTTCAATTACCAGTAAACTCACCACGCAACCACACGTACTACAAAAATGTATTGTCAGTTATTGTGTGTGTGTGTAATAAACACAATCAACAATCAACAAACAATAAACAATATTTATCACAATTGAAAACCCGACAAAGTAAAATTGTCTGTTAACCTGATTATCAACAGGTAAAAAAGAGACAGTTTTTTGATAAAAGCAATATGGTTCATCTTGTTGATTAATATGAAGGTAAATGTTTCAGTTAGTTAATGAAAAACACAATTGCAATGTTTATAATGATGATGGTGATAATTAAGCACAGAGGGAGTGTGTGTGTGTGTGTGAGAGAGAGAGAGAGATGAGTCAGATAAACAATTAGATTGACAAATGGTTGATGTTATCATGATAATCATGCTTAACTATGATGTTAATCATTCACTTTGACATCTCATAATGATGATTATGATCATCATTATGAGTCCGTTTTCAGTGAATGTTGATTTCTTACCGGTTTAGGTTTAAGTTGTTTCCATTCCTCTAGAATCAATTCTTCAAGAGAATCATCTTGTTCAGGAACAAAGCGAAACTCAGAGACGAAACTTATATCATGACAATCAGATTCATAATCACCAAATTCTGATTGTAACGAGAGAGCTGCAAGTTTAGCCGTGGTCGGTGTATCACAGGTCAATTTTCCCGAAACCAGGTCTTGTTTTAATTGAAGGAAAAACAGGTAACGAACATATTCATCTTTTAATCCATTTGGATCAGAGGAATAAAATTTAACTCTCATGTGAAAGGTGTACGGAGGTCCAATGGTGATCTGTTTCTTGACCAGTTTAGTTAAATCGAGCCAGTGTTGAACGGAAGTTGTATCAGTATATTGTAAACCAAAATAATCAAATTCAGCCTTTAAACTAAGGTGACCGATAACTTCATTAAACAGTTCATCTCCTTTGGCCTTTTTGTGAACATAAGCCGTTAAATTGGTTCCATCCAATAAAATTATCTTACAATGGATATAATTTTTTTGACTAAAATTTCCGGTAAAACCTGATGGATTAACGGTAATTGTTGGCTGATCGTTTTCATCAACATTAGGTGTGGCTCCTGTTCCAATTAGATTTGATTTGGTTCGACGACGGAAACTTCTTCCAAAACGTTTAGATAAAAATCGTAGCATTGTTCAGGTTATTATCGATTATCAAAACAATATATATAATATATATATTACAATGTATTATAATCTATATATAATAATAATAAAAAATATATATAAATCTTATAATCTCTTGTGGTTTAAAGGATTAATCCAGAAAAGTTTCACAGGTAAATAAAAGCACAATATGAACACCAGGTAAATGCGAGTTGATGGATTTGATTTTGTTTTCGTTTTCGTTTTTCTCTCTCAACGAAAAAGGTAAAAGAAAATAGAATCAAAATTAACAATTACTGAGAAGATGATTAAGGAGAATGGATTGTTTTCCAAGGATAAAGGTAAAAGAAGAAGTAAAAAAAAGGTAAACACTAGATGGAAAAAATAACGTAATCATCAGGTGATTTGGGGAGAGAGAGAGAAACAGGAAAACATTGGATTGGGGAAAGAAGAGAAATGGTCAGCACACTGGTCACTGATGGAAGAAAATATTAGTTGAATTGGAGAATTTGTGGTTTAAAACAAATAACAATTTCGAATAATTAATTGATTGGTTTCTCTTTCCAGTCAAGAGATTGAAAGAAAACAAGGTGAATGTTGTTGGTTGGAAGAGAAAAGAGAAGAAAAAAAAAGTTTCTCTTTTTGTTCCTTCTACTTGATTTTGTTCCTCTCTCTCTCTCTCTCTCCTTTTGGGTTAACTTATTATTATTATTTAACAGGCAAAAATTACATGGTGGTTACCATGTTATCAAGAATTCAGGATAATTATTGTGATGTTTTAATTGTGTCTCTCTGGTAATGTCAATGTAAAGATGATTTGGATTGATTACTTTTCAAAAAGCACATTTGGATAAACACAAGAAAAAAAAAGATTAACACAAAAAGGTAAGTTGATAGTTTGGTTCCTTTTGATTGTTGAAGTTTAACATTAATTACCTGTTGATTTTTGTTTCTCTGTTTAATTACTTAGGATACTCGACAAGTTGGTTCATAGTTAATCACATAATCAAAATGGTTACAAATACTAATTGGAACAACAAAGACCCGCACCCAATAAACAATAACAACACTTGAACATATTCATTGGTTTTCTCTCTTCTCTCTCTCTACCTTATTTTTTATTTCTCTTACTCACTTTTCTCTCTCTCTCTCTCTCTCTCTCTGTTAGATTTTTTTATTAACTCTCAAGGTAGAAAGAGAGATGATAAAAGATGATGATGATGATGAAGAAGGAGAAGAAGATGGTGATGTTGATGAGTTTTAATGACGAATAGAATTTATTGAGAAGAGAATAATTTTCTTTCTCTTTTTCCTTTCTTTCAGTTGGTTTCTTTTTTCTTCTCTCTTTCAGATTTTCTGGTAAACAAGTTGATGGATAAAAAACAACAACACCAACAGTTAGAGATTAATATTAGATGAGAAGAAGATATTTGGTCAATAAGGTTAATCCATAGGAGAAGAAGAAGAAGAAGAAGAGAGAGAGAGAGAGAAAAGATGACGATTAATACACTTAGTTTATCACTGGAACTTATGGTTAAAACATTTGATGGATTTCCAAGGTGACGATGATCTTATTGTGATAAATGATCCAAATGATGAGAAGAAATTGAAAAACAAAAAGATTATCACAACAGAAGAACAAGATTAAGATTATGAAGAAAAGAGAAAAACAAAGATGGAGAAAGAAAAGAAAACACTTTCAACGGAACGAAATAGATGAGAACAATTTTGCTTTTCTCTTTTTAGAAAAGAATGTGAATTCTATTTACCTGTGATGAGAATGATGATGTTGTTTGATGATCAATAACAACAAACACACACTGAAAATGTAGAAAGAACATTAGAAAGAGAAGATAAACTGAGAGAGAGAGAGAGAGAAAAAGAGAACGAGAGGTCAAACCCTCGCAAAAGAATCGTAACCAACAAACTGGTTTAACTTCTAGAATCGAAAACAGGTAATCGTCATCTTCTTTTATCTTCATAATTTCAGGTAAACTTTTTCTTCTCTCTTCCAATTTTTGTTCTTTTTACTATTATTCTTTTTTAATTTTATTCTCTTACTCTCTTCTTATATTCGTTACTATTATTCGCTTTTATGGTTCGCATTTGGTTTTCGTTTTTCGCTTCACAAGAACAATTTCCTTTTTCTCTTTCGTTTATTATAATTATCATTTTCTCATAATTTTCTTTCTAATAAAATAATAACAGAAAAAACTATCAAGGTAACTCACTAATTCGTTATCAACGAACCAAATGATTGCGAATCATAAACAAACTTATTTAGCCTTAACCTTTCACCTTTCTTCGTGTTAATGTTATCCAAACATCTACTTGTTACCTTGGACATTCAACCTTGACCATTAAATTGTTCAAAGATCAATTTTAACGCGATTAACGCGCATGGAAATTTATCACAACTGATTAGCTGATTGTTATTCTCGGGCACATTTTCTGATATTTACCTTTGACCTCAAGTTATTTTCTTATTTTCTATTGGCTTCATTGGAATTGAAAGAGAGAAAAGTTTTATAATTTGGATTTTTATTTTTCCAACAGAAAAACAATTAACATGAAATCATGAATATCTAGACCAATTGAATGGACATTAAGTTGTGGTCACTTTGGATTGATCATTATTGAGAAAGATTCGTGGTCATCATCGAGGACTGACCGACATTTTCTTTGGGTCAAACTTAATGTTAAGAGATAATTATGATGAAATTATCATTAGTTTATTTCTAAAGTTTTCATCATCATCAGAATCATGGTCATCATTGTTTACAATTAAACACCGAACGAGTTAAAATTTAGTTCCAACTACACTTTTCGGACCTTCGACTTGATTATATTGATAATCTAAAAAACATGACTTACAGAATCATCATCTTAATTATCATCATCATCATTCATGATCGCAATCATTAACAATAGTCACACAACTTATCCAAACAATTTGATGACATTTACTGGACAAACGGGAGTTAACGTTACAATTTAACTGACCCCTAACAGGTCAACAATCTAGTCAATGCATTTACAATTACAATGGACAATTGTAAATGATTATGAGAGATGAAGAAAAGCTTAATGAATGAATAACCATTAAACTGATTGGGTATCATCATTATCATTACAATCAAACATCATCATCATGATTGAGGCAAATGCGAAAATCATAATCAACAAATTGAGTTACATCTTTTTGTTATCATTTATTATTGTTATTTTTTAATTCTCTTTTCATCTTCATCATCATCATCATCTTCGAATGTTTGACAAAAGGATAACAAGAAAAAGAAAATAACAAAGCGTAAGCGGCCTCATCTCGATCTTAATCATAATAGTGGACACAGGCTACCGATTCAGAACAAAACTCTTCTCTCTCTCTCTCTCTCTTTGTTAACTCTATCATCTAATTATCTCGATTAATCCGTTAATAAGAAGATTGCAAAGTTGGAGGTGGAATAAAAAAGAGATTAAGATTAACGAAGTTTCATCATCTTCATCATTCAAGGTGAAAAAAAAGAAGATTGAAATTGTGACTAGACTTTCAAATCGAATCGATTATTTAACAAGTTCGAAACTTTTTTCCACCCAAAATTCTGGGTCAGTTTCGATCTGGTTGAGTAAAATTTTCCACCTAACAACCAACGCAATCAAGGGGAAACACCATGTTAATTGGGTAAAACCTTTAACCACAATGTTAACTTTGATTATTAAACGATTAAGTGAAGCGTTTTATTTATAAGATTAAATCAACAATCAAATTGTTGAAATTAAATAAACAACCAAAATAAGACTGATAATCCGACCCATTAAACAACAAATGGACAAGGTCCATCTTAATATTTTCTCACAATCAACTGATCACAATTTCATCTCTCAACAATTTGTGACTTTTTCTCCAAGAATAATCAAAGTTAATTGTTAAATAATTCGGATAATTATAATAATCAGAGTTTTCCAATTGCAAGGTTAATTCGTGATATAAGGATCAGTGTAATCAACTCGTTTCTTGATTCTTAATTTTTTTTTCTTCTTCTCCAATTATTATTATCGTTCTGGTGATTGTGATTCGGATTAGGTGTGGATGTGAACATTGTTGTTACCTGTTGGTGAAAAGAGTGTGTAATTGTTATCATTAATAACCTTGATTAAGTTAATTGTTTACCTCAATTTGAAATGATTCTCAATGATAAATGGCTACCGGACGATGGACTTTGAAAAAAAAACGATAATAAATTAATCAGAATTTCATTTATATGATTAACTTAAGACGTAGTTAATTGGGTGGAGTAAAAACAAATTAACTAATAATAATTAGTCGTATTATGATCAAGTCTTTACAACTGAATTTAGATGCAATTAAATTAAATATAATGGAATCAGTGTAATTATATTATAACGATTAAAGTATAAAAAAAAAATTGAAACATTTTCAATTAATCTCTTATTACAATTAACGATTCCACAATTAGATAAATGATGAATGATTAACTTGATTGCAAATCATTTGGTGTTTCTTGCTAATTTAGAAATAGATTAATATAAATTGAGCTGAGATAAAGTTAATTTTTCAAGTTGATTGGATTAATTTAAATGTCTTATTTACCTTGATATCTCCCTGTTGATGATTAGGTAATTTAATCGCTTCTTTAAATTGTTAATTAAGGATAATAATTGAAAAGGTAATCAATTTCATTCTGTAAATTGTCAATTTCATCAGGTAAGTTCAATTACAATGAGAAAAGTTTACTAACAATTTAGTAAATACTATTATTGGGTTGGTTTATCATCTTCATCGGTAAAACAATTAACTTTTACCATTAAAAATGACAATATACCAATAATAATAACAATAAAATTGAATTTGTTGATTATTAATGAGTAATTATCGTTATTAGTAATCAAGGAATAATAATAAATATTGAATTAAATTGTATCTTGTTGAGACATCAAAAGTGGTTGATTGGTGATTAAGATTAACAGCATTGATTAAGAAGAGAGAATCAGTTAATTGTTGATGGAATGGTTAGTCTGCTGATTGTTTTCCCTATTTCTTTGATTAGTTGATAGATGATGAGAACATGTTGAATATTAATATTTACTGTTTACAGTTTTAATTATTCATCTTGTGATCATGATAATCAGAACAATTAAACATCTAATTAGTAATTTGTATGTTCACATTAAAAATGGTTACTGATTGTCCATTTAAAGGGATAACACACACACACAAATTTACGAGCAGAAATTAATGGTTGCAGTTAAATCCGTAATCTAATTGTTTAAATAATTAAGAGAAAATGTTCATCAGCATCATCATTATAATAAGAGAATAGTTAATTTGGAGCAATTTAAAGTACGGCCAATCAATTGGGGTCAAATGAAGAGTGCAAGTGATAAACATAATTAGTAAAACTGTAAAATTAAGAAGCAAAGAATAATAATTAGTGAATATACAAAAAGAATTGAAAACAATTAAGTGAGTGGGTTAAAGATTTGTATTAGAGAAAATTAAGAGAAAAAAAAGAGATCGTAAAGATTAACTGGATTAAAGGGATGGAATAAAAAAGAAACCACTAAATTAACTCACCATTCATTTGGATTAACAAAATTTTCTTGTAAAGAAAATTAAATTATTACCTTTTTGATTGATACAATTTTCTACTGGCTCATTACAAACACACACACACACATACAGTCACCAGAAAATATAATAAATATCCGAATCTTGATGATGATGATAATTACGCCTTGATTCACCTTGAAGAGGGTTTTAATTTAGAAAATGATTTAACACAATTAATCATTTACCAGGTAATAAAGAAACACCAACCAGCCAACAGTAAAGTATCAATAGGGATAACTCATATAAAGAAGGTTAAGAAAATTAAATGGGTGACACAATCAAGTTAACCATTTCCATCAAGTCCAGTTAATCATCATTTTGTTCACTATTCACTGTACAAGTTAACCGTTAATAATATATTAAATTACAATTACCAAATTTACCAGATATCGGTTTACTCCCTAATAAACAGAAGAAGAAAAGAAAAATAAATTAAAAACAACAATTACGCTTAAAGGTAAACAAAAGATTAGGTAACTTACTTATTTTTTTTCCTATACGAATGAAACAAAGAAGGTCCATCAAAATTTGAAATTATAATTAGAGGGGAAAATGAAACAATTAAGAGAATCATTTATACTTACAATCAAGATGGTGAGGTTACCTAATTTAACCCCTGATGGAAACAATAATCAATCAATTAACTGGGAAAATAATCAAAGTCAACAAATATATTAACCGGGAAACAAAAATGTCGCAACAGAAAATGACAAAATCAAAACAAAGGAGAAAAATTTAAGAGGGAAAAAAGAGTTGACACTAATGACGATTAAATTGAAGGTGAAGGTCAGGTTAAGGGTTAACAATTTTTCGTTGTCAGTTAATTAGATGAATGATTGGTTGTAATTTAATTAGAGACAATTAAGTGATGACAATTAGTGAGTTGATTTGTTTTTCCGCTGTTTCCATGTCAACGGTTAGAGAAACGCCCACGAAAATTTGAATTTTTGTCTTTACCGTTTGAGAAAAACAACAAATGATATTGTAATTAATCTTTGCAATTAATTAGTTTCTTTTGTTTATTATTCTAATTAGTGTAATCTTGATCATCTTCCAATTTGAAGATGATTAATTTAGCCCAATTATTCTCACCCAAAATGATAATTTCCAGTTGAGACAATTTAGTTTTGTTTCCCTGTCAAAGTGATTACATAAAACAAAACCTACACGTTACAATCATAACCATCATCCTACAATAATCAACATCTTAATCACCATCAAATTTTGTGATCCAATCAACAATCAACATTCTTATCATCACCATCACAATCAACTGCAGCTGGTAAATGTTTTTCTATTCCTTTTAATTGTTTACAATTTATTTAATTCTATTCTCTTCTTCCTAACCTTTCCTGATTCTTAATTATATTTGAACACCTTTTGCTTATCTATTATTGATTGTTTTCTTTTTCTCTTTTTAGATAATCATTTAAAATTCAACATTCTAACGATCCTCATGCTGGAAATATATGGTAAATACGATGAACTGGCCTGTAAACGAATTCAAGAATGACCATTTTATGCTCTTATATGTTTACCTTGGAAAAGAAAACAACAATGTTAATGTTTATGGACGATTTTCAGACAATTAGTATTTTCTAATCGTACAATCATTACGATTTCTGATGGAAACATTGAATTTCAATTATTTGGAGTTGGAATGAAATTGATCTCAGTTACAGTACAGTGTATTAGATTGTCGTTGATTGATGGATGGATGGTTCTTATTTCTCAATGAACTAACCTCAGATGATCGAGTATCGGATGAATCGACCGGTTCCTTACATAATCGGGATACAAATCTATACTGTTTTTCGTGAACATTTTCATCTCACTAATTAATATCGTGAATGTTAACTACTTGGGAACAATTAGTGTTACATCAAGCAATTTATTAATTACTCTTCGTGATACATTAGGTTACATTTTATTGGTTGCTGTTAGAAAATGGTCATCACCGGTTACAATCAACTAGTCATTTCTACGATTCATTCACTAAACTAATCACAAAACAAATCAAAATAACAAAATCTTTGATTGTTGATTAACTTCAATTGGTCTTCGTTAGCTGATAAACTAAACAATTTTGGTAGTTGGTGTCTATCGATTCAGTCAATTCGCACCTCAAATGGACTTCAGTTCCAGTGAAGTTTTATTCAACTTATTTCCATTTAATTGATTCATCAATTTTGTCTCTCATTTAAAAACATCTATTTAATCAACAAGTTCACTTGCCCTTCCATTCATGATATTATCATATAAGAAGTGATAACTTTCGTTATCAGGCAATTAAACTTTTTCTTGACCGAACAATCAATAATCGTTGATTATACCACTAATTATGAAGCTTCAATTACCTTTTACATTGGTGATCATTTGGCACCCCGATTAGATGATTCGATGGAAATTAGATTGGAATATGTTTAATTAATTAAGCCAAGAATTAGGATCAACTCATTTTGTCCCTCACTGTGATTACCAATAGTTTCATTAGAGAATCAAATCAATCATCATCAACCAACACTTCTTAATTGTTGGTGTTAATAAAGTTCATTAAGTTATCAATTTCATTGGAATAACGGTCTTGTTATGAGAGGAAATCTTAATCGACAATCAAATCTAATTAAAAGTTTTCCAATCATAAAAGTTTTCATCGAGTATTCAATTAACTAGGAATTGAATTTTCCATTCTCAACAATTGATCGAAAAAGTTAAATTTTCTTTTTTTTCTGACATTTAATTTCTAATTGTTCCTTAAACGAGTTGAGGTTTTAATTATTTTCTAATTAATTTCTGAATTTTTTTTCCTTGATTTTCTAGATCATCAACTGATTGTTAAAGTTTTGATGGTTGTCAACTTCAAAGTAGTTTAAATGTTTCTCTTGGGACATTAATTATCTAACTGTTAATTTGGTTTGGACAATCACAATTTAGAAGACAATTTAACTCAATTAGATGTCACTTAGCTCATTAATTTAGTCCTGTTTTCACCAGACTAATCAAGACAAACACAAACACACACTCAAACATTATCAGTGGCAACAATTAACCAAACAATTAGTGAAAGAAAGTCAAATAATTAGACACCATTAACCAAAGATGAAATTAAAATGATCAATCAACTAATCTACAGACTCACACATAAATTAAACACGAATTTAAATGTGACCAGGTTAGTTAATTTCCAGCTAATTGAACAGTTTAATTTACTTTTTTTTCTTATCAAGTTAATTAAAGTTGATTAAATTGTTCATATAGATTATTGTGTCTATACGGTTTTTGATTATCTTTAACAATTTGTTTCGTTTAATGTTTTTAATTGTTGTTTTTGTTAATTTCTCTCCATCAATTTAACAGGTTAACATGTTTGATTTGTTAATTATGTTTACCAAACTTAAATCTTCCAACTGATTGTAAATCTAGATACTCGTTGATTACTTTAGGTGTGCCGTTAATTTTGTCTTTGACTAAATCATATAAACGCATTTATACATAACAACCTAACCCGAAAATTGTTAATTGTTATCATTAAATTGTGTTGATCAAAGGCTAACATCATATTGATCAGAATCACGAGAAACAAAATGATTATCATTTTGTAACATCAGAAACACAATAATTGCTTAGGATATTTAATTGTGTTTGTGTTTTTGTTAATTATGGGATTTGTAATTAATGGGTTTGTATATGGATAACCAATTTACCAACAATTTAGTAACTGCGATTTTAATTTGAACAATTTAAAGTGTCAGATTGTTTTCTATGATAAGTTGAGTAAATTGTTTATATTTTCAGGTTGATGTTGATTAGTAAAAGTGTTGATTTTATCTGGTGTTTTATTAATTGTTAGATAATCAAGAATAGAAAATTGTAATTCAGTTTCAATTGTATTGTAACATAAGAAACATGATTGATTGTTGTCTGATAGTTTTATAAGAAATTAAGTTAATTTTCAACGGAAAGTGATTAACAGTCGATCAAATGTTTAGTGAAGAGTGTTAACCGATCAAAGTTAATCAAATTTCATCATGAAATTAAAGTTAAATCACTTTTTTTCTCTCTCTGTTTCTTAATTATGATTAGGCCTTGAAGCTTCAGTGATCTCCAGGTATTCATAGAGTTAATTTATGAGCTTCGGAAGTTGATTAACAATGAAAAAGAAAATGATTTATCGATTGATGAGCGAATCAATTTGATTACAAGAAAAATGGACGATCAAGTAAAGAAGATTAAAGTGATCAACTTGATACAATATTTGGACATTTTCTGTTGGTACAATTAAAGGAATAGAAAATAAAACAAGGAAACAATTTATACGCTTTGCTTGGAAGCCTTTTTTATAATCAATCCAAATTCAACTTATTAGGAAATTTTCTTGTTAATTGTTGTCTCTTTTGGATGCACAATCGATTCGTTCAGGCCGCTTAACAATTTACATCCGTTTTCCTTGACCATGGTTTAGCTTTGACCACAGCCTGTTGGCTGATTAACTCTCCATGGGTTAATAAGCATAAGCCTTTGGTCACTGGTAACAATTTAGCCACGTTTTTAGCTAATCAAGGTTACGATGTTTGGCTAGGCAACAATAGAGGTAATCAGTATTCAACTAATCATACTGATATGGACGCTGCTCATGGTGAGTGAACATTGGATTGATTATTATAATAATTTAATACCAATTGGATTAAGAAATAATTGGATGAAAGAAAAATTATATGTTAAATTCTTGTTGAGCAAATTAGAATTGAATTAGAACTTAATCCAAGTCCAGTGTCGAATGTTGAAAAAAAAGATTCTTTAGTTTAATTTGGTGTAGATAATAAAGTAAACAGGAACTTTGGATCATCCTTAACCAATGGATGGATGAGATCTCTATTAAAAGTACAATAACGAATCAAGACAATTAGATTAACTAATATTTTGGACATTTAAAAATATGCACTCACTTTTTATACTCTAACGTTCTTAAAAAGTTTCAAAAATCTATTTGTTCCCTCAAGAGAGGATTTTACTTTTTTTTGGTTCGATCGGACATTTGCTGTATGAAAATATTAGTACAAGGAGCTTGCAAAATTAAACGGGACATTTATTGTTCTCTGGCTGCTCAATTGCTGAAGCAAGAGGCCATTACTAAAACTGTTTGATGGTGGCTGGTTAGGATAAGTTGTTCCATAGCGAGATTGATTAAGTTCACTGACCACTTTTTTACAATCATTTTCATTTCCATAGTGTTTGATAAATGATGCAAATTCTTTACCCTGCTTCTTATAGGTGATTAACTTTTTTCCTCGAAACGAGAAAAACAAACTTGACCCATTGTTAGAAACAAGATCAGCTTTCTCCACATAAAAAGGACCATCACAAATTTCTTGCAAAACGAGAAACGCAGCTAAAAAAAAATAGAAAAGATCAATTGAAATTCAAATTGGTTCAAACGCAAATCAAAAATAATTCAACTACTTACATGACAATGATAAAGACCAATCACAATCAGTGCACTGATTTTGATTAGGAAATTGGGAATTGGGAATTGGATACTCTGACATCTCTTTAAATTTAAATGAAAGATGAAGAAATCAAAACAGTCACAATAATCAAAGTTTTAGCTTTTAAAATGAAAAAGAAAAAAAAATTTTCCATCTGTTCAACTTTTCGATACATCGAACAAAAGTATCGATGAGATTCGATAGAATCGAAATTGAATAACATTTTTTTATTCGAAATCTAAAATCTTGACTTAAAGATGTTAACCAGTTTCTCTTAATGGTTTAAATTGTTTATCATTTTTTTCCTTCATTTAATCAATTGTTCCAAGTGTAAACATCTTTAACCATGTACATTCGATAATTAACTGATTGATTTTCATTCAACGAAAAGAGATAATATTGGATTAAGTTGTTTATTTCATTTTCTTTTTCTCTCTTGAGTCTCTCTCTATCTATTGTCATCTTTTCTTCAATCAAGTGACTGTTTTTGTTTTTTATTCTCAACATTGTGAGTGTTTTCTTCTTTTTTTCTTGTGGTTTTCTCTAATTCTTATTGTTATTTTCTTTTTTTTTCATAGAACTCAGTTTATGGTAAATATTCTACATGTAAATGTGTATCTTCATATTGATCAACCTTCAGATGTTACCAAAAAATCAGGTAATCTAATTTGCCTCATTTAGGATTCTCTCAATTGTTTTACTTTTTCCTAACTGTGTCATCTGTATTTGTAAAACTGGTGCCCTGAACCTGTTCAACTTTAATTATCATCTCTTATTCTTTGGGTTACTCTCCATCTTTTTTTTACTGTTGCTTGGTTTTCATGTCACAAATCTTAATTGAATAGTTTTTAATGCTTCTTATCTTTTTTCATTCAATTATGAATTTGTGTTTGTGTGTCTTTTTTTTGGGAGAAAATATTTCTTACTACTGTTATATTTGTAACAGAAAAAAAGAAAATGAATGAAAGATAAGAAAGAGAGAGAGAGAAAAAAAAGAGCCAAAAAGATCTGTATCTCTCAATTGTTATGATATCATGTTGAGGATAAAAAATATCGGTGAAAAGGTGTTGAAAGTTCAGCAACAGTATCAACATTAGAGTCTCCATATATCTTTGCTTTCTTTTTTGGTGGACAATTATAACGTTATTATGGGTTCAAAGGTTGACCGAATCTAAAAGTGGAGATTAAGGTCTTGATCATCATCATCATCTTCATCTTCATCTCGACGACAGTTATGGTTTATGAATAAACTGGTTTGTTTATCGACCTTAAAGCAAGAGGCATGTCCTGACCTTGCTATGCTTTCACTCTATCAGCGGGAATCTCCCTCTTAATCAGCTCGATCATGGTCACCATTTTACTATTTACTATTCTCTCTCTCTCTCTCTTTCAAAATTAATGAACAAGTTTAACATATAAACAAACCAGCCTATTGATGATGAATTTGACCTTAACAACTTCAATTCGAGGTTCTTATTAATGTCTGTTTATAAGAATTTAATTGCTCTCGGCTTTTTCTTCGTATTATTTGTGTAACCAAATGATGAACAACAATTGATTTGAGTGTTGGTTTGTGATTGTTTTTCTCTTTCAATTTGATTAGTTTTAATCAATTGATTTAATTTTATCATTGCAAATCATCATATTCTTTCGTGTCATAGAAAACAACTAACTATTATTATTACACCCGTTTCTCATTTTTTTCCTTTTATGTTCGAGTAACGATACTAATGATAAACCTATTTACAGTTAGAATAACAGTTTCTATTTACGTTCGAAAACGAAATTACCTTCTTTAGCCATGTAACTTAATCTTTAGTTTATTTCTAAAGGAAACGTGAGATTGATAATCGTAATCAATCAAGTGAAGAAACCATAATATGTAATCAGTGTGTTCACCTTTACTATTTTATCAACTATTGAAATAATATTAATCGACTATTATCTTATTTTTTTCTCTCTTTTTAGATTTAACTGTTTATCAATGACAATGCCCAGAGATCGAAATCAACGGCAGAGGATCGAAACGGCTCTTGCCGTTGTCCTTCGAACACCAGGTCTCTTTATAATCGATTATTGGTGGCAAAATGAGAAAAATAATTTATCTCTATCATTTGGTGATGATTCTAATTACATTTCAACAATTCTCAACAATATCAGTAAGTAATCAATTGGAAAATAAAAACGTCAGTGACACATTTTCCTCGATTTTACGATAAAAACTAATTAATTCTCTTCGTTTTTTTCCTTTAATATAATTGATCAGCATTAATCAATGGATTTTTTCTATTACTGTTACCAATTTCTTGTATTCGATCACTTTATATTCATTTCATCTGTGGAGCGATGCTTGTCAGTGGTCACTTTCTTTCCCACTATTGGGTCCAAGATGAAACTTCTACCGTCGATTTCCTGCCGCAAATAGATATAATGGTGGATAAAATGGCCTCTTCAGTTGTCCCAAATTCGGCTATTAAACAAATCTCATTGCTCGCTGTTCATGTATTCATTGCTGTGATTGTCTCATTGTTCCTTCAGGGTCCTCATAAACCATTAATTTCGGCTTTTGCCTGTTACTCATTGCCCGTTATCGCTCGTATAGTCGACTTCTCAGCCGAATCAGTTGAGGTAACGAATCGGTAACTCGGTATTATTTCATCGAAAAGTATTAATTCAATATTCATTATTTATCCAAACAGATAATTCATCACTTTAGCACTGCCTTGGTAGTTATCAGTTTAGTCCAATATGGATACAGTCAATTTCGTGGTTTATTTACCTCTTTTAAAGGAGCTTTTAGTGATCTTCTCAGTGAAACTCGAGTTAATGGATTTCTTTACCTGATTGTTTTACTATGGAAGAAGCTTTTTGTGCCAACACATTTTCTCCTTTTCTGGTGTGTTGCTTTTCTTGCCAAAGTCTACGAGAATCTTTTCATTGAGGAAAATTCATCAGATATTTATAATTTAGTTCTAAGTTCGGCAAGCAGTTTATGTATATCTCCACTTTCATTGATATCCACTGCGGTCACTGTTACGTACATTTCTTATTTTACTCTATGTGGAATCAAATTATACCTTTGGGGTAAACCAGATTATGTTGGACGTCAAAGTGATGTTTATTTTAACCAAATTATACTTCAACAAGCCCACTCAGGTTGGGAAGAAGGATTGACCACTTTCCTCCTCGCCATACTCACCGGGATTACCAAAATGCAACCTCCAGCACGAATGGCGGTACTAACAATTATCTTATTCGTTGTTTTATCCTCTTTACTTCAATCGATGCTTGAAATCGCTGAACCTGTTATTCTTTCACTGAGCACTTACCACGGACGAAACATTTTCCATCATATAAAAGTTTTATTTCTTTGTGCATTTCTATTCTTTTTTCCACTCCATGTAAGTTGGGTACTTGCTAATCTATTTCCGGTTGACTTTTGGATGGCTGTGGTTCTTTCAACTTCCCTTCTCACCTCAGCCCAAGTTCTTGACTTGGTTATTGTTCATTGTCTATTGTGGTATGATGCAGTTCGCCATGAACCTTGGGCTCCACTCGATGAGATGGTTTATTATGTTCGCAGTGCTACAAAAATAATTGAATTCATAGTTGCCAGTTGTGTTGTTTTCGTTGGTCTATTTGAAAGTTTAACCAATAAATGGATTTGGACAAACGCTTTTATCCTGATAATTCACTGTTACTTTAATGTAATGCAAAGATTTCAAGCAGGATACAAGAGTTTTATTCAGCGACGTGAAGCAATCGCCAAATCATCTCGATTACCAACAGCGACAAAAGAACAGCTGAAACAACATAATGATGTTTGTGCCATTTGTTATATTGAAATGATTAACGAGAAAGAATCAGTTGTTATTCCGTGTCAACATTTTTTCCATCGAATTTGTTTACGTCGATGGTTGTGCTTCCAGGAAAGTTGCCCACTGTGTTCGGCGAAAGTTACCCTGGAAGAACCAAAATCTACCGAAACCAAAACTTGAAATGAGAACAAAAATATCATCAATCAAATCGAAAAGAAAAACCTTCTCTTTTTCTCTTGTTGCATTGAATTCTAATCAATTATTAATCACACACAAGAATATATCGAAAATCAAACGAACAGTTGATTTTCAATGTTAACGAAATACATATTGTAACTAATTAATTTTTCTATTTTCTCGCAATTTGTCGACAAAACAAATCATCATAATCATCATGAAACATTTAAAGTGAGAGAAAGAAAAAGGAATTAGCAAAATTATGGTTTCATCGAAAAGAGAATTTAATTGCTAAATAATCTTACAATGTAAATGAACTCCAACTATTTAAAAAATCACTCAACTCATTAGGATCATATTCACATTCATACAATCAAAATACACACAAATTAAACGATATTATTGTAATAATTAACAAATTGCGTTGTAGCAAATTTGACAAACAATCAAATCTCTCTGAGAAAAAAAAAATAAAACCAAATTGAATCAACTATAAAGAAAAAGCTTCCAATTAAAAAGCTCAATTGTAAATAACTGAAACGAAATGTCATCATCCCGATCAGATGAATTCAATTAACTTGTACAATTATTGTTTCCAATTAAATCGTTGGTCAATCATTCATATTAAGAGATAATTGGATCGATCAGCAAAGATTGAAAAGGTAAATTGATCAATGAACAATTAACCCTTGACCATCAATTACTCTGGACAATCAACATTAAACCGATTTTTTTTTCTTCATCGTGAATCATTTGGATTATCAGATTGTTGTGAAATTGAAACAAGTTCAATTCTTGTTTGTTATTTTTACAGCAAATGCCTCAGGGCGATCGTTTTAGCCTTGGAAGATGATAAAAGGAGAGAAAGACCAGAATCAACCAGAAAGGGAAGAAGAAGATGAAGAAGATAAAAAAAAGGAAAAAAGAAGCAAAAATTGAGAAAATCTTCTCATAATTAAGAACCAGTAGGAAGACTTATTAGTAGTTTTTTCTGTTGTTGAGACGGAAAAAACTCTTTGCCCACTTAAAGGTCACTTCTTTGTTTTCTTTTTCTAATTTCGCCATTTTTACTCTTCAAAATACAGAATTTTTTCGTTTTTTTGACAAATGTAAAATAAGTTTTTTCGTTTAATCATGTTAATTAAATCATCTCGAGTACTTGGTCATGCAAATAAACTTTTAATTGTGATCCTTTTGTTAACTTCTCTTGTCCGGTGTTGGAGTCAAAGTGTTGGTTCTCAATCCGCTGTTGGTAAAAAGCAAAACAATTTACTCACACCCGAGGAATTTAATGTTGTTAAAACTCGTGAAGAAATTATCGCTCTTGAGGACTGTGGTTTACCTCCTTCTGATGGTTCGGGATTAATTGACCCAAGAATTGGGGGTTTGGTTCCCGAAAATGTAGATGAATCAAATGGTTGTGATGGTCGAACCCTCGAAGCTCTGGTTAAGGTTGAACGTATTTCGATGGGACAAACTGAAAGAGATCGTATAATAGCCGCAGCCATTGAAGCGGTAAAAACGGTTAGTAACTATTCATCAATCGCTGAACTAATGGAAGCTAAATTGAGATCTGTCACTTCAGCGCAATCAGCAGCTAAATCGACTAAATTATGGTTCACCTTTGTTGGAGCTAAAAACGCCTTTTCTGGTTCTCATAAGTCAATGGCCACCAATGAGTATATCACCTTTGTCCTTGGTGGATTAAGGATTAATACTCTTTCGGTGACCGTTGTGGTGCCCTCTCCATGTACGAGTTCAGATTTAATATCAACACCATCTCCAGTTCGTCCTGGACCTTTTCCAACGGGTGGTGGCGATTTCTCTGGCTCTGGTTACGATAATCAAGACCCTGTGATGGTGAGAAGTGATTTCGATGAATCAGTTAACTCTTTCGTTCTTTCAATCCTTAAACCCTCAACTCGATCGGGCGGAGGTTCGTCAATTGTTTCACCAACTTTACGATCAGAGAAAGTGTGCCAATCTTTGGTCAACAAACTTGCCCTTAAATATGAAGAATCTGTCGACCCAAGGTCATGGATGTGCTTCTCTGGTGCTCAACATTCAGCAAACTTCAAAACCTTTACCGATGATATTCCAGCGATGAAGATCAAAATGGGCTCAACCAAAATTCGAGTGATGAAAATGCCAAAATTACCCAAAACTGAGGCTGAAGTTATAAACGAGACCCGTCTAAACATTGGCCTTGCTGTCGTTAACAACACCGATCTTGACTCATCTAATGCCGCCATGTTGGTCAACTTTGCCCAAGAAGGTGTTCAACAATATTCAAGCTACGCTGGAATCGCTAAGCACATTCAAGATCGAGCAGGTCAACAATGGCAGCGAAAATTTCATTGCACTGTTGGACTGGACACTCAATATTGGATCTATTTCTGGTACAAAAAGCCGTTCTTAATAAACTTTACTCTCAACGAATTAAGGATCATCGTTTATTCACAGAATTAGCAGTAACCAATTAAACATTGATTTAAACGTCAACAATTAGCTGAACAAACTACTTATTAAAGTCATGAAATCATCTCAGTTATAAGAACCGGAAACTTACAACATGAATCGATAACCAATCAATTGATAATCTTCATCTTAAATCATCCCAATGAAATGTGAAAAAGACTAAACCAACAATCAAAGAATCAGTGATTGTCAACAAATACTCATAATTAAATCAGTACTCAATTTAATTAATTGACTTTTCTAATTACCTCAAAGTGTAAAGTTATTTATAATTTCAATTAGTCTATTACTTTAATTGTAACATTAATGAAGTTGTGATAGTTAAAAGATTAACTCAATGAACAACTTTTAATCAATTAAACGTAAATAATACAATCAATTAATTGCTAATTTCCTATTGATTAGAAAACAAAAAAGCAATTTAATCATAATTGTTTTTCTCACTCATTGATAATAATCAATAATCAGCAAGAAGATGAGAATAGAAAATAATAAGAAGCTGTTTAATTAATTGTTCCAAATGATCAACATGAATCACAATCAATTCTAACCTTAATTTGATTTAAATTAATTATCCTTCAACCAAGTTCCCATAACAATTAACTCAAACGAGACAATGAGCCAAATGAATACGATGAAATTAACAACAATCAGTAAGTATTATTATCAATGTTTAAAAACGTTTATCATGATTGATGATTAATTGTATTCTAATTTTTGTCAATTAACTTAAATCCTACAGTTTTGATAACCTTAATTGTCGGTGATGTTAATTGTTATTCTGATACCGATTTTCTTATTTCAATATCAAACGAATACAATCCATCTAAGATCGAGAAACACTTTAAGGAGACAATCAAACAACAAATCGTAACAATTAAATCAATTCCAAGTGATTACAATTTAACTAATGATCAAATTGTCTTCTGTAATTTTACCTTATCAACTTTAATTATGCTCACTGATTATATTGATTCATCAATCCCATCATATCAAACCTGTGGATTTGCAACATCGGATAGATTGAGAAACTTTATTAATCATTACGATATAATAATTAATTTATGGAGAGAAGAGTTTAAATCTACTGATTTGGTTGATCAACTAATTGAACCTGATTATGATTCCCCAGAGGAATTAATTAAATCACTTGGAATGGGCAGAGAACTTGATTTAATTAAGAGAAATGCTTTACAATCAATTAAACGATACAAAGCAAATGTTGAACTTTTTTATTCTGAATTTTCCAGATATGAATCAACTCTCGCTGATTCAACAATTAAACAACTGAATTTACTCATAACTGAATTTGAACAATTAAATGATAATTCACTTGTTATAATTTCACCTAATGGATCTATCAATTATCGACACCCATCAACTTCAATCAAGAAAGCAATTAAATTAGCTCTGGAAAGGTTTGCATTAATTATTAAATTATTTTCTTGTTCAAAATATTAACAAAGTAATTGTTTAATTTAAGAAAAAATTAAACCAAATCAGCTAATTGTTGTATTTTCCCCCATTGTAATTAAATCAATAAAAAAGCTTGATGATAATCAGATCTATTTGAAAATTTCCAATGAAGTTCAATTAATTTGATTAACTTTTATTTTCAAGTCTTTAGATTACAAGCTAAACAATTAAAGTGAAAGTAAAAAGTACGTGATTAGTAAATTTGAATGTATTGACGTGGATATGGTTGATTAGTGTAAAAACATTTAATTAACTGGTTGATTGTGACTAAATTGTGGTCACATTGGTTATGCCAATTTCCTTAGTGTTCATTTCAATTCAATTCATTTGTTTTTTATAACCAAATTATGGATCAAATTAGTTTGATATTAGTTTTGCTATTGATTCAATCGCTGATACCAATCAATAAGAGTGCTAGTCTACATGATCAAGATGGGATGAAGAAACTTGCAATGCTTGATAAATTGTTGCCCGAATTGATTAATTCTGGTGCTCTAGATATGCTCAATAAAATACCGATGGATCGTATTTCTGATATCGACCATGATGGCAATAAAGAGGATAAAAGTCCACTCGAAACTTTATTATCTTCAGTTCAAAAGTATTCGACTCCACCTTCCCTCAGAATCCTTTGTCATCTTTAGTATCCCTGATGTCACTTATGGATCCACAAACAATATCCCCTTGGTCATCGATCTTGTTGTTATCGAATAGCTTAATGTCACTGGCAACTTCGACAGTGAAAAATACTCTCACATCTGATCCGGACACTTATCGAACTGTCCCAGAGTTACTTTTATCCCGTGGATTCTCATGTGATAATCATTATGTGACCACTAAGGACGGAACAATACTTCATCTTTTTCGGATAAAAAGTCACTTCGCTCAGGCCACTTTAGGAAATAACAGTCTACATCCCGTCTTCCTTCAACATGGTTTCGCTCTGTCAGCGTCCAGTTGGCTTATTAACTCTCCTGGTGAAAATGTAGCTCCATGGGTTAATAAGCATAAGCCTTTGGTCACTGGTAACAATTTAGCCACGTTTTTAGCTAATCAAGGTTACGATGTTTGGCTAGGCAACAATAGAGGTAATCAGTATTCAACTAATCACACTGATATGGACGCTGCTCATGGTAAGTGGACTTATTGTGACGATCTAATTAGAAATGACAATTGGATTAACTTTAAATTTCTTTTTGTTTGGAAATATAGATGACAGATTTTGGAAATTCTCATTTGATGAACATGTAGAAGAAGATGCTCCAGCCATGATTGATTATATTCTTAACATTACCGGTAAAGGTAAATGGTGAATGAAGAAAATAATGTTCGTAGTAACTAATCCGATATTTCAACTGATATTCTACAGAAAAAATTACCGTTATCGGTTATTCTTTAGGTGCAGCTCAGTTACTTGGTCTTCTCTCAGTTAGGCCAGAATACGCTGATCACATCGATTTATTTTTCGCTTTAGCTCCGACCGCTTATTTGGGTCACGTTAAAGGTCCAATTGGAAAATTCATGGAAAATGAAATTGTCCATGAGATTTTTCAACAGTTCGAAGGTAAATTTCCACCCACTGATCAAGAAATACCGATCAAACAGACAATCATGTTCTTCTGCAATAACAAAATATCTAAAGTTTTCTGTGCAACGGCATTTGATTATCTCGCTGGACTTAATACTCAACAATTCAATCAATCGCGTCTATTTGTTTACCTTAATCACTTTGAACAAGTTTCATCGAGAATAATTAATCATCTATTACAAATTAGAGAGAAAAATGTTTTCCACCGTTATGATTTCGGTGAAACAGAAAATCTGATCAAATATAATTCCAAGACAGCACCCAAATATCCTTATTCCAGGATTATTTTCAATAAAATTGTTCTAATCAGTGGACTTAATGATGCGATCGCTTCACCGGATGATGTTCACCAATTGCGAAAAAAGTTATCAGGTAAGTTTATGAGAGACACTTTTAATTGTTGGTCCTAAATTAATCATCGTCTAAATTTCTTTCCCAGGTAAAATATTCATTGATTATATTGTCAAGAATCCTAAATGGAACCATTTAGATTTCATCTTTGGCAAAAATGGTTATGAAAATGTAAACAAATTCATTGCTGAGACAATTGAAAAATACTCAGGGAAAAAGTTGATTAACCATCACAATTAATCAAATATTTAAATTGTATTGTTCATTAGATCAAATTTATCTGCTAAAGTAACAATTATCTTCATTGATTGATTTGTACTTGCAACTATTAACATTTAATATTATGTGATCTCGAATGAAATTTTTTAATCATTAATTTATATTGTAATTAATAAATTGTTTGTCCACAGATTCAATTACTTTCATTACAAATGATATGATTAATTGGAAACTTGAGTATCTCCTAATCATGTTAATTAGGTTAACAAGGGGTTATGATTAATATTGAACTAACTGATTAACCAATATGATTATTTGAGATGATAGTTTTTAATTTATTTACAAATTGTAACTGATTAGTAGAGGGATAAATGTTGATCAAAGTAACAATTAGAAAAATACAGTTAATTTAAATCAAAATTCTAGATTGAATATTGGTTTTTGATCTAATTGGATATATTCAATGTGGATCTGATTATAATTACCAACTATTGGTTATCTACATGTCAAAAGTGATTTGATAATCATCAATGATAATTATTAATTAATCTAGTTCGTGATAACATAAATATCGAAAATTAAATTTACATGAAAATTGGATGTTAGTAAATTGTAACGTTATAATCTTTTGAATTAAAATCGATTAATCAAAGACTTTGATTCGGTAAAGACTTCACCCAAACTTGATTTCTCTTCGTGATGCTGATTTGCCAGAAAGTTGATTAACAATTGGCAATTGAAAAAAAAAGTGAAATTTGATGAGTGATTATAATTATTAAATTCAGATGATTTATCTATTATTAATAATCAGCATGAATGAGTTTTCAATTTGATTATCTTATTCGTGATTCTATTATCATCACTATGCAAAGTAACCAACGTGTCAATAATCAGCAATTTTAGAGAATCAGTTCATTTTTTTTCTGATTAATTCTGATTAGTTTTCATCTTTCTTTTCAACATTTTCCAATTTTGTTGATTGTGAGAGTTAATATAAATTTCATGTTCAACATGAGTAAATTTCTTGATTTACTTTGATTTGTTAAACTCTTGCTATCTCCATAAATGGAGATTAGTTTTAAATTAACCATTTACAAATTGTGATCAATTTAAATAATCCTTTTAAAGTTTTCCATTAACCAGATCGTTAATTATATTCGCATAATAGGTTCCATATACGGCACGATTGTGTGATGCAATTCGCATAAATTGGCCCGCGATGGATGATAGACTACGTTGAAGAGCGGTCAATCCTTTTGGCATTTGAACGGGTGAAGCTGTGTTCGAGGTGAAAACCGATTCGACAAATTCAAGGATCCGTTTCTGGACAATCTGACGGATACGATTATTCTCATTCTTCAGGTCAACGATTTGTGCTTTCAAGGCCAATTCTTTGGTTGAATCGATATCGGGGAATACATGGTTCTCAGCGTGTTTTTTAATATCAGCGATTATTTGAAGAGCCGCACTTTCCAGGCGGCTTTCTAAATTAGTGATTAAAGATGAGGTCGAAGTGTTGGCGGCGGTGGTGGTGGTGGGTGTCGTTGTTATAGTGGTGGAAGAGGTTGATGATGAAGATGATAAAGATGAGGTAAATGTTTTCCTGGTGTCTTCTTTTTCATCTAAAACAATTAATAAATGATCTCGAATATTTTCCTTTAAATCAGATAAACTTTGAACACATGGAAAAGCAGCAACGGTAACCAAAAGAGCACTTCCAACAAAGATATTAAGGGTTAGAAAATCTCGAAGAGAAATGATTCTTTTCTCATCAAGAACAAGAGTTTCTGGGAACATTTCTTGCATTTTTCCATCCCAAATCAATAATTGAACATAAGCAGAGGTTAGAACTTTGTTAATTATCTCCTTAATACTTTCTCCAGAGAAATTGTGTTCATCGTAAGCGCGTTTTAACCATTTCTTGGTGAACTCTAAAGGATCCGTTTTATTATTATTTATAACTGAAATTGAAAGAAACGAAAGGAGGAATAAGAATAAGAATGAAATTCAATTGTAATCGAGTATGTAAATGAATGAGAAAGAACAGGTTTCAAAAATAATCTTTTTTCACTCATGTTAAGTTTCAGTAATTGTCCATTTTCAAATATACGAAAGTAAACATTTAAATCCTGTTACCTGAAAACCTTTTGTTTTGGTTAAAATATCAACACTTATCAAAGATAAACTATTGAACCGAATGTCTGAGTTATTCTATTGATCTGTTTTCTAACTTTTTTCTGTAGGTATTAGAAACAAATTGGTGACACTTTTCATGAATATTCTGTCAGAGATGAATGAGTTTTTCCTCCTCTACTCAAAGAAAATAGATGGTGAAACTCACTTGAATTACGCTTCAGGAACTCGGTGAACTTTTTCCTCTCATAAGTGACTGATTGTTGTAAGACTTGTGGTCGAATCTGTTGAACCAAAAAGTTGGCCATATCTAATCTCATCTCGTCAAGTAATTCCATGATTCCTCTGAAAGAAAGAGAAAGAGAGAGAGAAATAAGTTTAATTGTGAAAGGTAAAGACAATCAAAAAGTGAATCTTATGAAATGCTATATAAAAGGGAGAGAAATGATAATAAGCAATAATGTTTGTTGTTTTTTTGTTCATTGATCTAAATGAATAAAAAATCAGGTCAAATGGAAATAAACTGAGAGACTGTAGCTAATAATAGATAAACCATTAAGAGAGTGTATAAATAATTCATTAAGATATCGTTTCATTGAGAGTGAAAAACAATACCAATATTCAATGAAATAGTAAATAGTTGAAAAGATTTGCATTACAATTAAGATGAGTTAATCAATTGAAAATACTACTAAGAGTCCAATGTGATTAGAGGAAAAAGTATTCTAGCAATACTAATATAATTGAGGAAAATATAAGTGAGACAAGAGATTGAATAAAAAAAAGGCTCGAACGAAATTTTATCGAGGAAATGATCTAATTTTCAATTGAATTGTAAATGATGAAGATTCGACGAGAGGAAGACTAAAGTTGGAGAGACGGAAAGGAGAGGAAGATGAAGCTTATATAATTGATGATTATTAGATTGTTGTTATTGGTGGTTGAATAAAAAGAATGGGGAAAAAGTGAGAAAATGATGATGAGGAAGATAAAGGGAGGGAAAGTTAAGGTATGATTAGAAGTGAATTGGATTCATACCTGAATATCGGAACGACTTCTCTTGTCTGTGTTAATTGACGGATTTTCTCATCTCTAATGGGTGCACATAGTCGAGCCATAACCGAAAGTATATAATGAGCATATCGCTGGAAATCTAGAGCACCATTTTCGGCTTGTTGTTTGATTAGATCGAGGTCAAGAATCTCCTCAATTTCTTGTTTCAATCGAGTATGTTGGGGTAATAGGAAGGACATTAGATTCTCTTTGATTTCACTTAATAACATTAAGGCTCTTTTATAATTGGGAGGCGATTCGTCCAGTTCATTTTGTAATAATTTCCAAAATACTTTTCTCATCATATCGTCAACCTTTTTGTGAAATGAATTTGGTGGAATTTCATTTTTTTCCAATTTAAATTCATCGTCCATAACAATCTCATGGGCAAGACACATATTGCAAACTTCATTGGCCGCTTTCATTATCTCTTCTAAGGCCATAAATCGAGGCGGTGAAGCTGAAATGGTTGAGGTATCACTTTCAGATGATGTGGACGCTGATTGGACTGTTCTTTTGCTTCCTGGAGTTTCAGCATCTTCAAATGAATCTGGAGGCTTTGAATGAAAACAAGAAATTAGAAATTATTCAACATTGATCAAGGTGCAGATCATTTTTATATATAAAATATATACCTGATCTTTTGACGCTCTAAGCATAAGATCCAATGGAGGTCGAAATAGTTCCTCTAGTGATCTTCTTTTGTTATTGGTATTGTTTCCACTTGATGTTGCACTTTTACCTGTGTCAAGATATTCTGAGTAAAAGAGTAGAGAAAAAAAAATGAGATTGAAATGATTGTCATAAAATTGATGAAGAAACTCACTTGATACTGTTCGTAATTGTTGTAAACTCTCGAACATAATTTGCATATTATTATTTTTAGACTGACTGTCACCAAGATCATTTAAAGTTGGTGCGTTTCTAGGAGTAGGGATGGAAGGGCGGAAAGAATCACTGGAAAAGATGAGAAGATGATAATTAGTCAAAGTGAATTTCACTTAAATGTAAGCAATAGGAATATCATTTTAAAACAGTAACTCAACTCTTCATTTAATAGAGATGTAGATGGAGTGGATAGACCACTGGTAGATTCAATGGCGTTTGTTGATGTTGTTGTAGATGTGGATGGAGATGGAGAGGAAGAAGATGCATAAATAGATGAGATGGAAGGATCAATTAAACTATTATTCGGATTAGTAACACTACTAGTTGAAGTAGCCGAAGTGGACTTGGTTGGAACATTTTCATCAATGGTACTCTCATTGTTAGAAGGTAATTGTGATGAAGGTGTTGATGATTCGTGAGTTTGTATTACATCAACTGGATCACTAGAGTCAATACCATCTACGTGCATATTAACCGCTAGTTCGATGTCCCAATTACACGCTTCTAAAGTGACCCTAGCAAAATTTTCATCTGTACCTGCAAAAAGTCAAAAGCAAAACATGAAAAGAAACAATAAGCAAGACAATTAAAAAGAGAACAACAAAACAACAACAACAATTAGTAACCAACAATTAAGATTATAAACAAAATGAACATCATAAGCTCATGATGATAGAAGACAGAGAAAAGAGGAAAGAAAAATCCAAATTGATTTACCAGTAAATGTACAAAATTGTTCAATAGCTGCTTGTTTATCTTCACCAGAAATACCTGATGAGCTCATTTTCTAATGAATCACAATTAGTAAATAGAGACCAAAAAATATAATCACAATAGAAAGAAAATTGAGAATGTTAATTAATCAAGTGACAAGTTTATTCTGTTCGCAATCAAGACAATCTGTTTCTCTCTCAACATTGTTTATCTTTTTCTTTCCTCTTTTCTTTTCCCTTTTAACATTCGTAAAGCGCCAAATTTGAATTTTCACTTTTTCTTTCAATTCGAACAATTAAAAAATCGTAATCATTCAATTAATCACTAGAATCGAGATTTTCAGACAATTGGATTGGAGTTTTCTTTTTTTGATTAACTTTGTATTCTTGCATTTGTTTTCAAGAGTTTTTTTTGCTTTCAAATTGTTGAATATTTATGATTTGAATCGCAACAATTAGCAGAACCTGATTATTAAGAATTTTTAATCAAAAATCGTAATGAAAGTTACACTTGTGGATTTGTGTGTATTAATTTTGTTTTATGTTGTAATAATTGAGGATTGTTCATATTTAATTTTTACGAACGGTCTTGTGTTTACTATCAAGGGTATTGGTGTTTTCTTTGTGTGTGTGTGTGTTTATGTGATTGTGTGTTGATGTTGATTAATTTTTCTCTCATTGAGAAATTTTTAGAAGACCATTGATTAGATTGATTATCATATTTTGTTTTTGCCAATTGTTTAAACTAGTAAACAGTTTTTCATCATTTATCATCAACTAATCTCTTTTTCAATAAAATCTTTTGTTTTTTCGCAGAGATTTTTTTTCCTAGATGATGTTTGAGTTTCATGATGTTCCAAAGTTTCTTGTTGTTTTTGATGATTTTAAATGACAGAAAATTGTATTGATTGTAAGCGTATGTGTGTGTGTGTGTTTGTTGATCTTTTCTGCCACTGATTTATCAAGTATAAATACTGTTCGAAAATATTTTCATGAGAAAAAAATTGTTTAGATGATTAATTATTGTTAAGATTTCATATGGACAAATACGTTGTTTCCAGGGCACAAACCCGCTGAAGATAAAGTATCAGTATCAGAGAATTCGCTCAGATTTTTCTTTGGAAAATGAATCACCAGATCGTAATCATTCATGCTGTATCCTTTAGAAGAAATGTAAAGAAATAATATCTAAGAGAAAAAAGAAAAAAGAAAAAGAGATGAAAGTTAGATTAGTTTTATGAGGAACAATTTTTCTAATTATAGTTTATAGTTTTCATTGAGTTGGAAAAGTGAAGTGATCAATTAATCCAAGGAAAACCAGCTAATAGAACTTACTTTTAATGGAGATTGAGATGGAAAAGCTTTACGTTCTCGTTTACCATCAGGGAATCGGATAGTTATATCAGCTGTAGTAGGACTTTCAGGAACTAAATATTTTTCCCATGATTCTGGACTTGGAGGTTTCTCTACTTTAACATCGCTAATTAAAGGTTCTTTCTTTGGTTCCTTCGGAATTTTACTTGGGAATCCAGTTTCCGTATCCGAATCAAAGGTTTCCAGTTCACTTTCATCAGATGAGTCTTCAGTTTTAACGTTACTTGTATCCATTTTACGATTTTCCTCCAACGAAGCAGCTATAGCAGCTCGAAGCTGCATTTCTTCAGTTTCCTCATAAGGATTTGGCTAATTTAAAAAAAACAGGGAGAAAAGAAAAAGAAATCGATTAATTTCCAATAAAATCATCATCATCATTAAAAAAGACAATAAATAGAATGAAAAAATATTATTATTAGATAGCTTATTAATAGATAAAAGTTAATCAGGAAAGAAAACATTAGATAAAAATATCATTGATGTAACAATACATTTATACTTTTCTCATAGTTATTTCTAAACGGTAAATTAATTGTTCCTATGATTAGTATCTAAGTATAGATGTTTGTTACTTAAATTAAAAGATAAAATTATAAAATATTCACATTAATTACCCTTCTACTAATAGGGAGTGAAGGTAGACGTTCTACTGGGGCATTAGGGCCATTGGGCGATGGATGCTCCATAAGAAATTCTGTAACTACTTCGCAAAAGGAAACAGCGTCAATCGTATTTGACCATGACCTCATTTTTTCACCTTTAAATGCATAAAAGAGAGAGAGAGAGAATTAATAGAAAATATAATTAAAGATGACCTCAGAGACTTACCTGTTCTAGGATCCAGTATAGCTATATAAGGAAATTGCGTGACACTATAAAATTGCATGTATTTTGATCCTTCGTAACTATCATGGTAAATCTGAGAATATTTGATAGAGTAAAGATGAAGAACGAAATGTAAATGGTTAATTGCAATAACAATTAAAGAATAGAATAATTATTTATTCTTACTTGCCAGAATATGAAGTGTTCTGATATAATTTCTTTAACTGCAGGGTTTGACCAAAGGTCGCGGTTAAGGACTTGACAAGCAAATTCTTGGACATTTTGTAGATTGACCATTAACCATTTATTTGAAGATGAAGCAAAATCTCTGGCCTAGATATGGATGAGAGAGAAAGAGAGAGAAAAAAAGAAGAAAAAAAAATAACAAAAAAATAGAAAAAAGTGAGTAAGTGATTTAATAGGAAACGATTATGATCATGTTTTTTTAAGGCAAAACTATTAATAGGGTTAGAGGGATAGAGAGAGAAAAATTATCGTGAGATCAAATATTTGACTTTCAGATTAGTTTAACTAATCAAATCAAATAATTAAGATTCCCATTGATCAGTATGCATTGTTTAGATTGGAATACTATTAAGAAGAAGAAAGAGAAAAACTCTCTTCTCTTTCAATTGATCAAATTAGAAGAAGATTCAATTGAGACAATTTGATTTTAGCGGAAAATTTTGTGTACAATAAGCTTGTGTGTATCTCATAAGGAGGAAACAATTTTATAAAAAAAAAAGCTACACTTTCAGCACTCATCGAACAAGTTGTCATGAAAATAATAATATATGATAACGTTGAATGTTGAAAGGATAAGAGTGATTAACTTAAAGAGTTTCAAGTGTTATATCCCAATTAGAGTGCATAAAGAACGATCTGATTTCTGGTTAAATTGTATCTTAGACAATCATCATACCTGATCCATGGGACCTCTGAACATGAGATCCAAAGGAGGGCGAAAAAGTTCCTCTAGTGTGCGTCTTTTATTCAGATTGGCGCTAGAAGTTGCACTTTCTCCTTCTTCTAACCATCCTGAAGAAAGAAAAGACAAAAAAAAAATCAGAAAAATTATAAATTAAACTGACAAAAATAGTAAGTTTAAAGGGATAGATAAATGATTACTTGTTTCAGCTCGTAAATTACGAAATCCATCAAACACTGAGTGGGTATGATTACGGGGTCTGTGATTATGAAATCCGTCTTCAACAAGAACTTGTCTAACTGGGGGAATTGGTGGACGGACAGAATCTCTGAGAAAAGAGCAAAAAAAGATGAGAGAGAGAAAGAAAATGATGAGTAAAACAGAAGTTGAAATATTATCAGTCAATGAGAATCATAAGAAGGTTGTTGAAACCATGAGATGATCTAAATAAAGGATAAAATTCAAGTCATCAACAAGAGTATATTTATAAAAGTATCAATTCCATTACGATAAAAAAAAAGAAGAGGAAAAAACTCAACTCATCATTTAATAAGGATGTAGACGGAGTGGATAGACCACTACTGGATCCAATGGCATTTGTTGTTGATGTTGATAATGTTGATGAAGATGGTCTTCCAATTGAGGAATCAATTATTCTATTAACTAAACGCCTATCCCAATCGTTATTTAATGTACTACTTGAAGTAGAAGATGTTGTCGTTGAAGTGGTTATAGTGGTAGTACCAGTAGAATTGGTAGTATCACTGCCACCGATGTTATTATCATGGTTGATGGGCAATTGTGATGAAGATGTGGATGACTCTAAGGTTGGTATTACGTCAACAGGTTCACCAGTGTCAATACCATCAACATGCATATTAACCGCTAGTTCGATGTTCCAATTACATGCTTCTAAAGTGACCTTAGCGCGATTTTCAGCAGCGCCTGAGGTAGAAAAGAATAAACCAAAAAAAAAAGATTAAACCAAAAAAGAATAAAAATGGAAAAAGTAGAAAGAGTATTGAGTGTGTGTATGTGTGGAAAAAAAGCTCCACAAGATACAAACCAGAAGAGAATAGAAAACAAGAAATGATAGAAGTTTAAAAGTGAATGAGAAGCAATTAGTTATGACAATTAAGATAAAGATAGAAACAATGAGATGACAATGGTTTAGAGCAAATTAATTAAAGAAGAGCAGATAAAACAAGAGAGAGAGAGAAAGGAAAGAGAAAAGAAAACCAAAACCAAATAGAAATTAAGTAAAAATGAAAAAATTGATTATTTACCAGTAAAAGTACAAAATTGTTCAATAGCTGTTAGTTTATCTTCAGCAGAAATACCTGTTGAGCTTGATGAGCTCATTTCAGAATAGATCACAATTAAAATAGAAAGGCCAAAGAATAATTACAATAGAAAGTAAATTAATTATTAATTAAGATACAAGAGAAACAATGAAAATTAAAGTGACATGAAAACAAAACAAAACAAAAAATTTGTTTTCACTTGAAAACCACAACCGATACTATCGATTGTTTGATCAACATTGAATCGATGGAATCGATATCGATATTTGAGCGCTAAATCAATAGTTTGAACATTGGAACAATTAATTAATCCAATTTTTAGAATAGAATTATAGAAAAACAAAAAGTGATGAAATAATCTGTTATACAATACTAATTGAATTTCTAACATCTTAATAACAGATTAACATTTTAATTGATTATCTGTGGACTTGGAATGATACTTTCTCCAATTGGTCAACCTTCCTCCTTGTTGGTAAAGTGTTAACCGGACATCAATGTATTGACATAAGTGTTCTCACTCCTCTTTCGCCCTAAAATCATTAACATTATCATTCTTGATTGTCCATCCTCATCTCTCTCTCTCTCTCTCTCTCTCACTCTCTCGCTTTTCTTAGGATCTAACAGCTCTACAAACTTGTTAACAAACAAATAGCTCCCTCTCTCCCTCTCTCTCTCTCTATTTCTATCTCTTTCTCTCTTCTTTCCTGTGTCATCCTTTGACCATATGTTCTGACCATCTGAACTCGTTTCCCAGTCATAATGGTGACAATTCTATTGATGGTTCATGTGCAACTAACTTTAAACATTACCTTTAGGGTCAGTCTTATGTTTATCTGTAAGTTAAGGGTCATTCTCAAGGTAATTAGACTTTGTTTATCTTCAAGATTAACCAAGTATTCTGTGTGTTGTTAATGCCAGGTGCATCTCTATCAACACAGTTACAGTAATATCAAAACTCAGCATCTTCTTCATCTTCATCTTCTCTCTCTCTTCCATCGTTGAAAGCTCTGGAGGACAAGTTAGAGAGAGAGAGAGAGGAAGACGAAAAATCAACATCTAACAAGAAAAAGAGAAGAAGAAGAAGAGAAACAGAGAAACAAGTGTATGTTCAGGCCAAACATCGAATGTACGAATTATCATTGTTAAGAAGGTGAAAAAGTGAACAGGTAATACATGTAATTTGGAGCAAATTCATCATGGAGATAAATTGGTTCTCATGTTATCAGATCATCTTGATTATCTTGTCTTCTTGTCACTTTTACTTTTGTGCTACAATCAAACCAACAAATTTTGACGATGAACGTTTTAAACTCAACAACTCGAACAGTTCACAGCGAAATGCAACTAGAGCTCGATTGGTGAGTTTTCTTTTCTCTGTTTATTTTATCTCTTTTATTTGGATTTTGTTTCGAAATCAATTTAATTCATTCATCTTTCTTTTTTTGTTTGTTTATTCGAATTGTAGAAATTGGAATTGAAAAATTGTGGTTTAAATCAAATGAAAGATTTATCTTCTAAATTGAGGATAATCGGAGGTCGTGAAGTGGTCAAAGGTAATTGGCCTTGGCAAGTAGCTTTACTTAACCATTTTCGGGAACCATTTTGTGGAGGGACTTTGATTACTCCTTCATTTGTGTTGACTGCAGCTCATTGTGTTCGTCGACGATTATATATTCGTGCCGGTGAACATGATCTCATGACCAATGAAGGAACGGAACAAGAAGTGAAAGTGGATCATGTCTTCATTCATCCTTCTTTCGATAGAGAAACGGTTGATTCGGACGTGGCTTTATTACGATTAAAGGTTCCATTTAAATTGGGAAAATTCGTGGCCACGGCTTGTCTTCCTTCGAGGAAAGATGAGATTCCAATCGATTCATTTGGAACCATTTTGGGCTGGGGCAAGAAGAAAAACTCAGCTCTGTTTGGTACCGATGTACTTCATCAAGCTCGTGTTCCAATCGTCAATATAAGTGAATGTAGAAATGTTTACGAAGACTATTTCATCTCGAACAATATGTTTTGTGCTGGTTATCGAAGTGGTCGAGTCGATTCTTGTGCCGGTGATTCGGGTGGACCTTTACTCTTCCAGAAAAGATCTCGATGGTACATTTATGGTATCACATCTTTCGGTGAAGGTTGTGGTCGCAGGGAAAAGTATGGGATCTATGCCAAAGTGCCGAATTTTGTTAAATGGATTCGAAGAGTTATTCATAAACACAGTTATCGATGATTTATCCTCATCATCATCATCTCATCTTCATCTTTATCTCTCTTTCCATCTCCATCTCCATCTTCAACTTCATCTTCATCTCCATCTTTTCATCTCTGTCTCTTTCAATTCCAATCTCCGTTTTCGGATTCAATGGCTAAAATTTACTTCCTGTCTTTCATTTCAATCAAATTGTTACAATTATTACAAAAACTGATTCCCTGACCTTGGAAAGTTTGAGCTTAACTCAATCTCGACAATTAAGCTAATCACAGCTCGTTATCCAGACTACAATTTGTTAACTGTTGTGACATTGATCCAACAAAACAAAAAAAAATGCAAATCTCAACTTTTTGTATATTATTGTAAATTGATTATTATAGTATAATTTGTTATCTAATCATTTCTTAATTTTCAGCTTTTAAGTGAAAAAAATGATTAACATCGTCCAGTCTTTTAATATATAAACGTGATTAAAATTGATCATTTGAATATGTAAATTCTGTGTCTATTATTCACCTAATTATTAGCCTCAAGTTAATTAACATTAGAACACTAACAAAAATTTACAATGATTATCTTTATGATCTAATCTTAATCAGATTAACCTTGATTTAAATCAAAAACCGTAAACTTTTCAATTCGACTATGTAATTAACCAACATCGGCCATTCTTTTGGTGTTCAGATATCAGAGTTTCTCTCACATCCCCTGAAGTTCATGATCTCAATCAGAACTTTTTTCACAATCTTTCGAGTTTGAATCACTTGTGTCACCTGAAATTTTCAATTAACAATCACGAATGATCTTAATCAACAAAAATTAACGGAACAATTTAATGGGAATCCCATTAGTGGGATGGAGCAAAGTAACAATAGTATATAAAGGGTTAAGAAGGTGGGAGATGATGAAGAGGGAGCGAGAGGCAAATTTGGCAGGAAAAGAGAGAGATAGAGAGAAAGAGAGAGAGAGAAAGGATGATGATGATGATAAGAAAGAGAAGATAAATTCACCTTGAGACAAAACAATAAAAATGTGAATATGGTTTCGCTTTTGTTTTTAGTTGAAAACATTTTCTCTAATTGTAATTGTTACTTTACTAACTCGATTGTATCTAAATTGTAGTTCAATCCTCTCCTTGGACAATTAAAGTTGATTGTTGTAAATCAACACACTAGTGTTAGTTAGTATTAGTTGAATTAATTTTGTTATTTTTTTTTCTCTAACTGTTGATTGTTGATCAATTTCTTTCAGCTGGACAAGGTTAAATATCTTTTTGTGCTTCAGCAAATCGCAATGTTTGTGTTTATAATTTTGTCACCAAATTACAATTAATGTTGTTTATAAAATCATTTGACGTGTATAATTAACATCAACAATTTAATCCAATTGAAAACGGGAAATCAACTAAATTCAATTGATTAACATGATTTACTTGTGACTTAGAACAGTTGATTTCTTTTTTTAAGTAATATCCACTTTAAGACATCAAGTGTAAATCAGTGTCATTAATTGTTTGTTTAATAGTCAATCTATTTATCCAGCAGTAAAATATTTTGTTAAATTGTGATACCAAAATTATGTTGATGATTTAAAATTGATTTGCCATCATGTTAATTAACAAGGAGTTCAATTGGTGAAGCATTTTACTTGGGAAATGTTTAGCTGATTTCAAATTAAATTGACGTTCGTTGTTTTCCTTTAATTTTCTTGTTAATTGTTGTCTCTTGAAATATGATCACTCTCCGAGATTTTCTTAATCATTGGATCAGCTTTTTTATCATCATATTGTCCATTTTAACCATCACCAACTCAATTGGCAATGAATCGTTTATATTACCACCCAAATCATCATCTTCGCCATCATCAACAATTACATCATCTTTAGACGATGAGGTAAGTTGATCGGTGATTTATTGTTATTGTTACGAAATTAATTAACTGCGTTTCTCTCTCTTTATTGAAAGTTCGATGAGTCTATAGCAGAACCGATTCTACCACATACAAGCCCCGCTGATTTCTATCCTGGAAATTTAACCGCTGAGGAAAATAAACATCACCCTGTAATTGATGATGAATTTGTTCCAAATTCGTTGAATTTTGGTGGCAAAACGTACACTCGATTCGGTGGTGCATCAGTCCATGAGAAGATCAATGTACTCACAGCGGGTAAAAAAGGTCCTCTTCTTATGGAGGATATAACATTCTTTGAAGAGTTGAATCATTTTACTCGTGAACGAATACCAGAAAGAGTTGTCCATGCAAAGGGCGCCGGTGCTTTCGGCTATTTTGAGGCCACTAATCCTCATGTTACCGCATTCACTCAAGCCTCTTTCCTATCCAAACCCGGTAAACGTACCAAGGTAGCGGTCAGATTTTCAACTGTTGCCGGAAGTAAAGGTTCAGCGGATACTGTTCGTGACCCTCGAGGATTCGCGGTTAAACTTTATACCGATGAGGGAAATTTTGATCTAATGATGTTAAACTTTCCAGTCTTTTTCGTTCGAGATCCATTGCGATTTCTTAATTTCATTCATAGTCAAAAGAAAGATCCACAATCAAATTTAATCAACTACGATTACTTTTGGGATTATATTTCACTTTTACCTGAAACATTACATGCAACCTCTTACCTATTCACTGATCTTGGTACTCCGGATGGATATCGACATATACATGGGTTCAGTTTGAATACCTTTAAATTAGTTAACCAATATGATAAAGTTGTTTTCGGTAGATGGCATGTGCTCACTAATCAGGGAATCCACAATTTAACCATTGACGTTGCAACCAAATTAGCAGGTTCCAATCCAGATTATGCTCGAGAAGATTTATTCAAGGCTATTCATTCAGGTAATTATCCTTCATGGAGAGTGTGTATCCAAGTGATGACCCAAAAACAAGCTCATAAATGGAAACACAGTCCATTTGATCCAACAAAGGTAAGTTGATCCATTTCCATAACTTGATCACTTAATCCAAATATCGAGATTTATAACGAAAAAGTTAATCTGAAAAACAGAAACAAAAAACAGAAAATGGAACAAATTAACTAAATCTATAAGTAAATTAAAGATTAAATTTGATTAAAATATAGGAAATTAGTACAATTGTCTATTCCGTAAATTCTAGGTTAAAATTTATCTTATTTACTTACTTTGATTGGTTAATACTATTAGTTAATTGTTATAGTTGAAAGAAAGTTAAACAATAATTAATTTTAAGCTTATAATTTGGTTAACTAAAGCTATATAATTAATTGTAACCTTGTCTAACTTTTGTAACAATTATCTAATATAATTAGTTTTGTATTATAATCCATAATAACCAACAGGATTTGAGGATATTTGAATATAGTCAAATTAATTAACAACCATTGCCATTGATCAGTTAACTCTGATTGTTACCAATCGGTGAAAAAGGTTTATCAATTAATGGTGATATTGATTTTCCATAAATTATAATCAATTTAAATTAGCATAGTTGATCCAGTTACAGTTTAATCGTAAATTGTAATGATCTTTTTGTCTCCTAAATCGTAAATTCTAATCATCCAAAGCAATTAGAGAAATTTTCTCTCTCTTTCTCTCTCTACCCAAGCGCAACCATTAATCTTTTTCTGATTTATCTTCATGGTATCAACCACCAATCTGAGAAAAGAAACAAAGAAGCAAAAAGAAAAGAATTAATGATTAAAAACGAACAATTTAGAGAAACAATTAGTAGCAATCAATAGGATTAACAACGTTAAGATCAAACTGAAAGTAATAAAATGAAAACATATCATGTACAAAGGTTAAATTCATTAACCTGAAGAAACAACAAAATGAATTAGTTATGAATTATGTATGGTTAGATAATTGATGATAATAGTAATTAAAAGTAATCACTGTCAATCATTTAAAAATTTAGAAACAATTGGATTGTGATAAAAGTGAGAAAGATTTCACTTTTGTTACACTTTCACAGTGACAATTAACATTAGAAATTTTTTTTATGGTCTTGATTTAAGTCAATCAATATGCTTACCAATTTGATTTTCCTTTTCTGTTTTTTTTTGTGTATTAATTGTTGTTGTTTAATCAGACAAAAAAAAACAATTTGATTGTTGTGGTTTCAGTGGAATGATTTAATCTCTCTCTCTCTCTCTCTCTCTCTCTCTCTCATGGTTCTCTCTTTGATTACTCTATTAATCTTGCTTGAAAACTGAATCCGTTTTTCCATTTCCAGTTGTGGCCTTTGAAACACTTTCCTCTCATAGAAGCTGGTAAATTGGTATTAACACATAATCCGAAAAATTTTTTCGCCGATATTGAACAATTAGCCTTCAATCCAGCCAATTTAGTTCCAGGAATTGAACCATCAACGGAAAAGGTACTTCAGGGTAGATTGGTAGCCTATCAAGAGGCTCAAAGTTACAGGTAATTATGAATCTAAAAAACAAATGATCAAGAACAAATTCAAGAGAGAGAATATAAATCTCTCATTTGCACAGTAAAAACATTAAAGAACAAAGAAAAAAAAATTATAAGAGAAAAGAAGAAAACAAAAGGAAAACAGAAAGAGAGAGAATAGAAAAGAAAAGAAAACTAAAAATTGGAAAACAGATAATTCACTTTAAATCTTAATCTCTTTTCGTTTTCTTACCACAATTAACACCAACACTCGGAAAGAAGATGAAGATAATTCCTGGTAAGATAATCAGCCACATTGAACAAGTTAATTGGATTAAAAATGTAATTAAAACAGACAGGTAATTATTCATAGTTAATTAGAAACAAGTAAATGACATAATTAGTCATCGACTTTGGTAACTAAACATTCAAACGGTTGCCAATGACAACGCTTTCGTTTTCCCTCCATAACATTAGTTTTTTTTTTCTATTTTTTCTCTTTGTTGTCACTGAAATTCTGTCAAATTATTCTGTGTTCAAACGATCAATTTTCGTAAATTTCATTAATTAAACAACGGGCTTTCGCCTGATACCAAACTTGTGAATCTAAAAGTGAGTAAATGAAAGTTATGTTCAATTCTAGGCCAAAGGTCTTAAGGGTTGAATAAAAAGCTCTTCAATTACTTTGATTACAATCTTTTTCTATTGCATTAATTTTATTTAAATTTCTTCTTTTTCTGTTGATTAATTTTGTTCTGTTCTATTCTATTCTTTACTTGTAATTAGACTTGGAACCAATTTCTTTAAGATTCCTGTTAATCAACCGGCCACCGATTCTACTTATCCCAATATCCGTGATGGTGCTTATTGTTTTGATGAAAATGGTGGAAAAGGGCCAAGTTATTACCCGAATTCATTTGATTTTAAAAAGGAAGATGATTCGGAAAAACCAAGTAAATGGAAACTTCCTTCCTATGTTGAAGTTAAAAGATATGATTCAACTCACGATGATAATTATTCTCAGGTAAATCTCTCCTTTTCTTCCTTCCTAATAACAAAATTTTTCCCTTCTTACTCATACATATGAAGCACCCAATCATTTATATCTCACTTGTTCCGTTTGATTGTTGTTTTTGTTGCTTAATTGTTGATAAAAGACAAAGATTATAATTACTCAGTCTTTACAAGCAAAATAATAACTTACCTGAAATTAGAGTTAAAATGAAAAAAACAACACTTGACTTCTTATAGCATCGCAATTGAATCTTGGTACCCAATTGATTTCTTGTTGATTGTTATTGAGAAAACTAAGAGCTGTAAATACAATGCGATTAGAGAGTGATTGAAATTGATAGTGATTGTCTGATTAGCGTTACTCTTAAACCTTTTTTTTACCTTGATTTGTTTACATTAGTTTGTAATTATAATACAATAGAGAAAAAATTGATCTTTAAATCTCTTAAATTGAATGATCTCTTTTTTTGCAATCGGTTGTTGATGTAACTTGACCTTAGATGAGATGCTAATTTTGTTCCAATTTTGCTGAGAATCAAAGAATCTATTGTATTTGTCAAAATCGTATTGTCTTAATTTGAGTCATTTTTTCTTAATCAACATTCTGATTGAGGTGAATTACTTTTGTTTTATTGCAAATTTATTCTATTCTTTTTCTATTCTTTCTAATCCTTCTATTCTCTCCTTGAAAAATTCACAATCAAATTTGATCCATTTTCTCCCATTTTATCTCCTATTCTTTAACCAGGTTGCCAAATTTTGGGAAGCATTGGCCCCGAAAGATAGAGATCATTTAATCTACAATTTGAGTACTCATTTGAAAAGAGCAAAGAAATTCATTCAAGAACGTTTTCTCCATCATGTTCGTTTGGCTCATCCCGAATATGGACACAGGTTAAAGGAAGCACTCGAATTTTTCGCCGACCATTAAATACGAACCAATTTACAATCTAAATCTACTGGAGAGGTGCAATTGAATTGATACATAAGTGTGTCAATCTTTTTCCCCTACACAATTAAAGAGACGATTTTGTGATATCCAGATGATGAAGAGCAACATTTTAAATCTACCAAACGAAAACAATCAAGTTAACTATTTCTAATGACTTTTAATTACATCAATCAAAGATATTTTCTCATTCGGAGGATTATTAATATTTTCCAAGTCCCATTGTCTTCCGTTTTTCCCGCAATTACTACTGTTTATTAGTGCGAGCTTGAGAAAAACATTGATTGCACAGAACAATTTTAACCCAAGTGATTATCGTTCTAATTGATGACCAGATAATCTTAAATAGTTGCCAAATTAACCAACAATCTTCGGGATTTAGGACTATCCAGTGAATCTATTTATATAGCGTTAAATTGTTATAATCTCTCATTAGTGATACACAAATATGAGATTTCCTGATTCTTTATCATCGATTTCCTTTGAAAAGAAACTTGTGATTCTTTGCTGTTTTCTAAATGTTTCCTACTTTTCCTTGTGACAATCAACTGTTAATAGAAGAGAACACACAAATTGCAATATCAATAATCTAAATATTGTGTTGCTTTTATTGTTTTATTTGTTTGACAAAAAAGAAGAGTTTACATCCTCTCAAAAGGTAGAAAATGAAAAGTTTCCTCTCTGGAAGAAAAGTGTTTGTCACAATTAAGTGGAATCCCTTCATCTTATAATCAATATCTCTCTTTACAATATAAATATGATTTTATGATCATCTTCATCTACTTATCCTGAAATATATTCTAACAACAGCAAAAACAGCAAACAACTACAACTACTACATGAATCATGATGACAAAGACAAAGTCTGTAACTTATAATTATACAATTTGAATCAATTATCACTTATCACTTTTCCATCATCATAATTATCACCAATTGTGTTAACATTTGAATTGATTGATTATCTGTGGACTTGGAATGATAATTTCTCCAATTGGTCAACCTTCCTCCTTGTTGGTAAAGTGTTAACCGGACATCAATGTATTGACATAAGTGTTCTCACTCCTCTTTCGCCCTAAAATCATTAACATTATCATTCTTGATTGTCCATCCTCACTTTCTCTCTCTCTCACTCTCTCGCTTTTCTTAGTATCTAACAGCTCTACAAACTTGTTAACAAACAAATAGCTCCTCTCTCTCTCTCTCTCTCTCTATTTCTATCTCTTTCTCTCTTCTTTCCTGTGTCATCCTTTGACCATATGTTCTGACCATCTGAACTCGTTTCCCAGTCATAATGGTGACAATTCTATTGATGGTTCATGTGCAACTAACTTTAAACATTACCTTTAGGGTCAGTCTTATGTTTATCTGTAAGTTAAGGGTCATTCTCAAGGTAATTAGACTTTGTTTATCTTCAAGATTAACCAAGTATTCTGTGTGTTGTTAATGCCAGGTGCATCTCTATCAACACAGTTACAGTAATATCAAAACTCAGCATCTTCTTCATCTTCTCTCTCTCTTCCATCGTTGAAAGCTCTGGAGGACAAGTTAGAGAGAGAGAGAGGAAGACGAAAAATCAACATCTAACAAGAAAAAGAGAAGAAGAAGAGAAGAGAAACAGAGAAACAAGTGTATGTTCAGGCCAAACATCGAATGTACGAATTATCATTGTTAAGAAGGTGAAAAAGTGAACAGGTAATACATGTAATTTGGAGCAAATTCATCATGGAGATAAATTGGTTCTCATGTTATCAGATCATCTTGATTATCTTGTCTTCTTCTTGTCACTTTTACTTTTGTGCTACAATCAAACCAACTAATTTTGACGATGAACGTTTTAAACTCAACAACTCGAACAGTTCACAGCGAAATGCAACTAGAGCTCGATTGGTGAGTTTTCTTTTCTCTGTTTATTTTATCTCTTTTATATCTTTTATTTAGATTTTGTTTCGAAATCAATCTAATTCATTCATCTTTCTTTTTTGTTTGTTTATTCGAATTGTAGAAATTGGAATTGAAAAATTGTGGTTTAAATCAAATGAAAGATTTATCTTCTAAATTGAGGATAATCGGAGGTCGTGAAGTGGTCAAAGGTAATTGGCCTTGGCAAGTAGCTTTACTTAACCATTTTCGGGAACCATTTTGTGGAGGGACTTTGATTACTCCTTCATTTGTGTTGACTGCAGCTCATTGTGTTCGTCGACGATTATATATTCGTGCCGGTGAACATGATCTCATGACCAATGAAGGAACGGAACAAGAAGTGAAAGTGGATCATGTCTTCATTCATCCTTCTTTCGATAGAGAAACGGTTGATTCGGACGTGGCTTTATTACGATTAAAGGTTCCATTTAAATTGGGAAAATTCGTGGCCACGGCTTGTCTTCCTTCGAGGAAAGATGAGATTCCAATCGATTCATTTGGAACCATTTTGGGCTGGGGCAAGAAGAAAAACTCAGCTCTGTTTGGTACCGATGTACTTCATCAAGCTCGTGTTCCAATCGTCAATATAAGTGAATGTAGAAATGTTTACGAAGACTATTTCATCTCGAACAATATGTTTTGTGCTGGTTATCGAAGTGGTCGAGTCGATTCTTGTGCCGGTGATTCGGGTGGACCTTTACTCTTCCAGAAAAGATCTCGATGGTACATTTATGGTATCACATCTTTCGGTGAAGGTTGTGGTCGCAGGGAAAAGTATGGGATCTATGCCAAAGTGCCGAATTTTGTTAAATGGATTCGAAGAGTTATTCATAAACACAGTTATCGATGATTTATCCTCATCCTCATTCTCATCATCTCATCTTCAACTTCATCTTCATCTTGATTTTTATCTTCATCTCTGTCTCTCTTTCAATTCCAATCTCCGTTTTCGGATTCAATGGCTAAAATTTACTTCCTGTCTTTCATTTCAATCAAATTGTTACAATTATTACAAAAACTGATTCCCTGACCTTGAAAAGTTTGAGTTTAACTCAATCTCGACAATTAAGCTAATCACAGCTCGTTATCCAGACTACAATTTGTTAACTGTTGTGACATTGATCTGACGAAACAAAAAATGCAAATCTTTGTATATTATTGTAAATTGATTATTATAGTATAATTTTTTATCTAATCATTTCTTAGTTTTTTAAATAACCATTTGTTTAAAAATTTTATATGTAAACAAAGTGATTTAGATGAGAATCAATCTGTTGAAAATAATTAGACTGATTCTGTCTCAATAAATTGATATCAATTCTTATTGCAAACAGCATTTACTAATTATTAATAAATCAGTCAACGTTATTAAAATTGATCGTTTGTTTTGAAAAGTTTTGCTTCTATTTGATTAGTGGTTGTCAAAACTTTCTCAAACAAAAGTAATGACGTTGCTTGAGATTTATAAACGGGTGATTATTGTAAAGATTTAATTTAATCCAGTTATCACTATTGTTTTCGCTCAAAGAACTCAACAGTTCTCAATATCTTTGATATCCTTGATTCCAACCAGCACCTTGAACTCGTCCACCTCCTCGACCATAATCTTGATAACCTCCCCGTCCTCCGCCTCCTCTACCACCCCCGCCGCCCCTGTGACCTCCACGATGATTATCATAATTATGATGTGGTTGGTAATTAGATTGTTGATAATTATCTTGATATTGGCCTCTTGGTTGATTTGATGAATGGTAACTTTTATCACTGCATTTGAATGTAAACAAAAAGGTAAATAATTTGATTAGTAATTTTTAAATCCAATTGATCAATTTAGTAATCAGTCTAATATTAAATACTAATAATTTTCAAATAGAAGTTTAATTTACCCATAATATTGGCGAGATTGCTGTTGGTGATATGGTTGATCACCATGATCTCTTTGGCTATACTGTCCTCTTCCATCATCATGAGGCTGATGATTCCTTTGTTGGTACTGTACTCCCGAATCTCCATGAGATTGATTTCTCTGTTGAAATTGTCCACCAGAGTCACTATGAGATTGTTGATTTCGTTGTTGATAACCACCACCACTTCCTCCACGTTGATTTCCACCGCCTCGAGGTTGTTGCCGTTGATTTTGCTGCTGTTGGAAAGTTTCTTGAGCTGGTGGAGGCTACAAATGATATTAATAAGAAGAGAATAAATTTTTAGAACTGAAATAATGTTAAGTAAATTGTGAGATAAATTTACCTGTTCTTTGGGTCGACCTCCTCTATCAGGAACATTACCAATTAAGAATTTTTGTAAAGAAATTCTCTGTTGTTTACCAACATTGGCCATTCCTTTGGTCTTTGGCGTTTCTATATCACAGATTTGGTGAGATTTACTGACCACCGAATTGAGAAGGTCAAAACATCCGCTTTTACGAGCAGCTAAACCATGAGCCAAACTAACGGTTGGTTTAGGGTCCAACATGGTTCTCAATTTACCATAAGAGGCATCAATCTTTTCACTTAAATTTTTATCGGCATTTTGATCTCCTTCCTTCCATTTGAAAGAGCCAATTGTACAATCACACCGAGTGATTAAAGTTTTACGGCGAACATGATAATCATCAAATAGAGAAGAATTAATTTTATCAAGAGTTTTCCATTCTTTTGGAACCAATTGAGTACCAGGTTTCAATAGCAATGGCTCTTCTTGGGCAATGGTTGATTTTTTTAACTTTTCGTTAATTTTATCCTGCATTTTAGAAAATAATTGTGACGATTGAACATTAGCTGGTGGTTTACCAATACCAAGAATAATCATGGATGATTTTAATTCTTTTGCTGTATCACTTTCAAACATATCGATCTTCATCCCTCTATAGAAAGAAAAGAAATTGGAAAATTAATTATCATATCAATTGGTGTACAAAGTGCAACTTTAAAGAGATTAATAGAATAGAAAACGTACCCGTCAGCAGGTTTATTAACATAGAGAATCCGAGCAGCCATAAGTTCACCACAGAGACAGATAATTATGGCCAATCTATTTGATTCGATAGTTAAATCACAACCAATAAGTGGAGATTGAAGTTGACGAAGAAGAGAATTCAATTCAATCTTGAAGGCATCTAATTCACTTTCACTGGTCAATATATTGACAATATAATCATGGCGTAACATATCATTAAGCTCATCGGAAAGCCAGTTAATTATTGCAGAAAATTCGATTATAGAAAGACTTCTTGGAGAACCATTGGTAAGAAGAGATTCTACTTGAGGATATCTTAACAGCTCCAAAGAATCAATAATATCTTCACCCAATTTGGCCATCATGTGTTTCTATTTAAAGTGTAAATAGATATTCTATTTATTTAGAAGAAATGATTCACCACCACCACTGAAACAGATTAAACAAATTACAAGTAAAAATCAGCTTCAATCGAAAATCTAGCTAAACTTAGCTAAAACAGGGAGAAATAATAATTGCAAGATGAACAATTAAATCAATGAAACATGGAAAGATGGAGAAATCAAAAGCAATGTTCTTGAAGAGAATGAGAAAAATTTAAAAATGAGAGACAAGAAAAAAGGGAGGAACAATTGACCAGATTGTATTTGGAAAACAAAGCGAAAGAAGCTTTTTCCAAGGTAACACAGATTCCAATAAGCTTTAACTTAATTACAAATTAATCACAATTAATGACAATCAAAGGTTAATTAGATAGACTTTAATTAAAAAGTTAACCTCAACTGTTGAATAATAAACAATCAATTCACTTGAGAAAGAAAAAAGAGAAAAATATGTTAGCTCATATTCTAGAAAAGAGATGGCGTTAGTGTCGGAGAATTTGTTTCAACCGGTAAGTTAATTGTTTCTTTTGTGGCTGTCACAATTTCTAAGTGACAATTAAAATAGGTGATTACTAATTAAGATTAATTTTTCTCTGTTAATTAGGCTGTTGGAGATGGATTGAGATTGTACCTGGAAAACAGAGAGAGAAAGTGAACTATTTCTTTAACAGGTTTTGTTTGATTTAAGTGAAGCTGAAAGAAAAGGTAACAACAACAACAACATTTTGCTAAATCAACAAATCAATTTAATCTTCATCAATTGATTGGAAATTTATCTGTCATCATCAATTATTATTTCTATACATTCAATTGGTTATCTTTTATGGAAGATCAAAGTATGTCTTGGAGACAGAATTGGTTTTTTAAGGTAGAAAAGAAAACCGAAAATCAAGGTAAGTTTTTAGCTTTTTTTTCGCATTCTAAATCTCTTAGCATAACCAAGTGAGAGACAATCATCAGTTTTGATGGTGAATTTGCATGAAACATTTCATTTCATTTTCTTTTTTGTTTGTTTTTATTTTTCTTTTATTTATTTTTCTTTCTGTAGAATCAGCAGGAAATTGGTTTTATGAAGTGGAAGAGAATAAAAAAAATGTGCTGATCAACAAGTTTTACTCTTTTCCTGGATCCAATGTTTTGCAACATTGTAACAACTTAAATCTTTCTCCTTCCATCTCTCTCTCTCAAATTTTTCTCATGAATGAGATAATACTAATGACTGAATATGGAGATGATTATGATGATCTATTGGCTTCCTTTTAACTACTTCCATACCAAGAGCAACTGTTAATTTACTTACAACTCAACCTCAACATCAACATGCATTCTATTGACCTTACATGAAGCAGTTTGGCTTCCGAGAAAAACAGTTAATTATTTACAATCAAGTGTAATTGAATTGCAAAGAATCTTATTTGTCTTGACCATGCAAAGGGTTGAAGGTCAAACCATAAAAATGAGATACGACTGATTTCGGGAATTGAAGAGTTGGAAACAATTTTTCCCTCCTATTCTTGTTTAAAAGTTTCATCACAATAACATAATAATCAATTGAATTACTGTTAGTAATTCCTACTTGATCTAGTTTCATCTCTTAAGAGCAGAAATGATTCATTTAATTGTTTCAAGGGTTGATTATTTACCAATGAAACAACAACATAGATATTTTTCCTTTTCTATTATTAATCATTGATTCGTCTCAATCAAAATAATAACAATAATTGTAACCAAGGAAACTTTGATATATTTTTGTTAATCGAAAAATAATCTTTTGATTAATTATCAAAGTGTTTTCGATATCGGCAATTACAATGTTTCTCTCCAATGGACCAACTAATAATCAGAGACAATCATCATCATTGATTAACAATATTCCATTAACTGATAATCGTGATAATAACACTCCAATGATTGGGATGGACGATGAACTGATTAATTTGGACCTCGAATCATTGAGTTTATCACCTAAATCACGAAGTTCGACTCGTCAAACCCGACGAAATGCTGAATCTGCAATTGAATTAACTTTCGATAATGATAATCCATTGACTCACATATTCGGACAATCTTCATCGAGCAGTTTAGTAAGTATTAGATTAGAATTAATTTAATTAATCAAATCAATTATCTTTTTGTCTCATTTTTTGAAAGGTCCCTAAATTTGAAGATCGAAAGCGACATGGGTCACTTTTCGAAGAGGATCAAACGGAAGAGCTTCGAACATCATTATCGTCATCATCTTCTCGTATCTTCTCAATTAAAACTGCGGTTAATCGGCCTCGAGAATCGGAAGAAAATGAAACAATCCCGTTTATCCCTGATATCGATGAATTAGATGATCCAATTAGTAAAGGATCAACTGATTTTCCAAATAATTTCGTGGTTAATAAACTGATCAGTTTACAAGAGCTTGAAAGTGATATAATTAAACATCAAGCCTTTTCCAATCTCTGTTCAACTGATTCAACCATTTTATCATCTCGATTAATTGCTCAGCCATTGGTCAAAGAAGACGATGCCCCTTGGACTTGGGATAGTTTAATTTCAGAAGTTTCATCTTACATTGAACGAAATGAGAACGAGCAACAATCAAGTTAACCAAAAAATTGAAACATTAACTAACCAAATATTAATAGATTGATTTCCATCATGTAATATCATGTATCTCTTATTGGAACCGTGAAAAATGAGATAATCAAAGACGCGATTTCTAAATAGTCAGGCCATTTAGATCACGATTAATTTAGCCAAATAAGAGGCCAAATGATAATTTAATTATTGTTGATTATCCGAATCGTAATGTTTTCGTTATTCACCTTAGAAAAATCTGCAAATCAAATTGTTCTTCTCTAATTGTAATAGTTGAATGTTTTTTTTTCGTTATGAAAGAAAACAATTAACGAAAAGAAAACATTTACTTTCCATTGAAAATCAATGATCAAGAATAGAAAACAACAATTAGAATATCAATAGATTTTGTTCACCATCGAAACCCTATCATTAACTGTTGATTTTCTTTCCATTCACAATATCTAATTCCACAATTAGTCCTTCATCATCAAGGTCAGTTAATTGTGAACATTGATCTTGAATAGCAACAGAAAAGTTAATCACGATGGTCAAGCCAACAATTTAATATTCCAAGTTGATAACAATCGTTACCCCATCGACGTTCAATCATTTGATCGGTGGTTAACCAAATCAATGGTAAATTTTTGATTAATAGCTGATTATTTGTACCTCCAGAGATTAAGATTAACTTAATCCTGTTCGGCAATGGTGAAACAATTAACTTAATTATTTTTGGTCTCAAATTTTGCTCGACTAAATTGACCATCAAGAAATACTTTTCCTTGAAGACAATTGATCATAATCAATTGTTTACATGAAAGTTAATCAACTAATTTGATGGGCAAATCTGTTACAAGAGGCAAACTAATTAATTAACTATTACAAAAAAGTTAATAGTTTATTCAAATGTACAGTTAATTTGGTTTGTATCGTTTTCGCAGCCTTAAGGTTGTAAAAATTTACTTTCGCATCCTAATCATGTTTAATTATCTTATCCCAGGTCATTTACTTATCAACATCAATTAAGTTAATCGTTATGATCGTTATTATCATCGTTTAACTGTTAACGAAGAAAAGAAAAAAATTAAAACTATTACAGAATAGAAATAATTAAAATCAATCTTAACAATCAATTAACTGATTATCTTCTCATCTTCATCTGGTTCATTGATCAGATACAAGAGTTGAAAGTTAATTTTCTAACTGATTGAAATTAGAAAAGCAAAATGATTTCATTTCAATGAAAACAATTAAGTAATTTATGTAAACACATAAACAAACAAAAATTAAACATCACTAATTTGACTAATTAATTTGAGCAAATTTGATGATTTACAAGCCGTTGGGTAAATTGATTATTATCGATTGATTTTTCGTGTTTGATTGGTTTCAATACAAACTTGTAATAATGACGACAATTAAGAATTGAAGATCAATTGATTACAATCAAATTAAACATGTAAACTTTGCTGATCCATTGAAAATGGTTACAGGAATTACCAACACGATTGGGATGGTAACTTGGTTGATTTTTAACCCAAAGTAAAATTAATCATTCAAGGTAAATTCAAGGCGAATCCTCTTAATCAACTTGATTGTGTGGTAGTTTATTAATTAAACTGGTTAAATCTATAAGACAAGAAGAAGAAAAAAAAATGGATTACAATTAATATTAAAAAAAGGGTTAAGGTAAAGGGTTAAATCTCAGTTGTGAGACATTGAATTGCTAGCAGACTATTTATAGCTTAAGCTTGGAAACGATTTAAATTATGATTAAAAAATAATCAATAAATTGTTCAAGTGATTAACTTGATCATTTAGAAGATGATCATCATCAATATCATCTTTATCTTACCTCATTTACACCTTTTTTTACCTGTAAAGTTTAATTATAAACCATTAAACTGATGGCGAGTTAAATGTTTACATGAAACATAAGAAACACTGAGAAAAAAAGCCAAATAGGATAAGTGCGAAATATCATTAAAAAGAATACACATTAAATATATTTTACAATTCCATCAATCACTTGAATCATGTTTCTTCCGAGATGAAGAAATTAAATAAACAATTTAAAAGAAAAATTGATTAAAATCACACACAAATAATTAACTGATCAAGTTGCGTAATTGTGGTTACCTGTTGATGACTTTTCTCTGATGATTTTCATTACATGTACCAAAGAAAAAGATGATCACATAAAACCGAATCTCCTTCAATAATTTGGAACATGGAAAACAATTAGTAATAATCGTGATAGTTGTTAATTTCGTTACAATTAAGATGAAACAACAATTAAAATCTCTCGAGATAATCAACAAACGATCATGTGTTGACCGCGAAAACATTGGCACCACCTTTGGGTAATTTAATGTAACCACATTGGTGAACATTTTCTAAGAATTTCAAATTGAAATCAATCATAATTTTCTTAATTGTTATTGATTAATTTTCTAATTTTTTTTTGTTCTTTTTCACCTTTAATATAAATTTTTAACCATCTCAACATCTTGATTATCAAGAAAATTAGTGGAAAATACTGGAAATTGTAAGTAGACCAAAAACGAAAATTGTTTCTCTTTTTGTTTACATTAGTTTATTATAGGAAAATGTTGTTAATCTTTAACTAGAATATTAAATTGTGAAAATTAGCTGCTGATTAACAATTAATACACTTTATCACCAAAAACCTAACCCAAAGTGTATCATTAACGGTATATATTGAAGAAAAAAACCCGGAATCAAATATAAACTTGAATATGAAATTTGAATCTCAGTCTAAAGGCTCAACATGAGATCCACTTTTTGTTGGGTTGTTTAGTTGATTGTTTTTCATTTGAAAGAATTAATTTAAACCCAAAAAGGAAGGAATAATTAAAAGTGTTCTAATCAAGTGTAAATTTGTTGCTTATTAATTTTCTTTTCATCACTTTCCTTTTTTTTCTCTCTCTCTCAGTTATATTTATATTAACATTCTCACAGTTTGGCTTCGGGTCTCTCTCAACAAAACCATTTCCAAGGAGGAGGGAAAACAAAATCAACATATTGAACCAACTAGAAGCGGAAATAATAACAATCATCACCATCAATAAATTCAATGATAATCAAGTTAATCAGTTGCTGACTTTTTTGGCTACCAAAGAAACTGTGTTAATAATTACACTCCATGGATCAAGATGAAGATTTAGATTAGTGTTAAAGACCTTTCACTTACTTGGTTAATTTGTTTACATAACAATTAGATTGTTGCTGTTAAATATAATTTCCTTCATCATCATCAAGTAGTTTAAAGTGTTGGTTAGTTGATTGTTAATGATTAACTTGCTAAAAAGCTTCAGATTTTCAACCCATGGCCTCAAAAAACACAAATTATTACTAATTGTCTAATTACTGGAATACAAAACACACACTGGAAAAAGATGGTTACTTGCCAATCTATTTAATCATGATAATTCACTCCTATTATTATTGTTAATAACTAATTAGAATGTTGTTGTTTTGATAATCACAGTTAATACACTTGTTTAATCATTACAATTAACATTACAATAGGGATTGTAGTTAACAATAATATCTTCATGATAACCAGATAACTTTAATATTATTAATATTACAGTTTTATCATCATGTTTATATTATTAATACTTGTCATTGTCATCAACTTTAACAAAGTAACTTACAATTAACAGTTGATTAGGTTAATCATTATCATTATCATTTCAAGTTTAATGTGTAATTTGAATCTTCAACAACAATTAACAAACAGAAAAGGTTATCCCACAATTCAAATTGACAAGCAATCCAATTAGCCAACAAGCCTGATTAAATGTCACTTTCATAAGATGATATTTAAAATCAATCCAATGAATATAAACCAACCAATTAATTATCAAACTGTTAACCTAAAAACAACCAAATTGGCTAATCAATTGATTAAACTAAATCAATGAAATAACCAGTTACAATTACAGTAGTAAATATAACAATTGACCTTAAATAGTGATGATAAAAATTGACCACAACTTAATTGTTATCAATTCAATTAGGTTTTATTTACTTGTGATCATGAAATTACCGAGATTTTAATCTTAATTGTGATTGATTCTCTTAATTTCCAAGAATCCTTATGGCTTGATTGTTTACTCCCAAACTAAATTAAGTGTTTGATTATTTAGCAATCAAGATAAATTATTTGTTGTCTAAACTTCAAGGTTGATTAGTTTTTTTTTGTGTGTGTGAAAAAAAAGTTAATTTTATAAGAAAATTAAACATGATCAATACTAATCAACATGATTATTAATTAATGTGATTTGGTAATAATAATATTCACTTTCTAATCAATTTAATCATGATATATTTTTACACTCAAATGAATGAGAATCAATGAAGGTTGATTATGTCATTTGGAAATTATGATGAAGAAAAGGTAATTAGTTAATCAATTTCCCTCTCTGCTAATTTAACCTTGATAATTATTGTAAATTTTTCATTCTAAATTGACTTTAATTTAACTAGAAATCAACGGACAATTAATTGCAAGAAGATTAAAACTGCAATTAACACGATACAAGTTAACCCATTGATCAAAGTTAATTGTTGGATTGAAAAAAAAGGTTAATTTTTTCAACGATTGAAAAATTTTGTTACAAAATTTAATTGCAATTAATTTGTTTGTACTTTAATAAATCATGATTAGTTTAATTGTTTGATCACATATTTAATATCAATATGGTTGATTAAAGGATTTAATCGAGAGCAATTAAAGTCTATTCATCTTTTATTCAGTAAATTGTAATTAGTTTTTCATTTTTTTTTTCTTTAATCAGTTAAAATAAATTGGATTAACATTAATAATCACTTTTTTAATATTCAAATTAATTCACAATTAATTCATTCATTTGATTTGCTAATTTGTCTTAGACCTGGAAATGGAATCAATAAATCACAATAATTTGAAATCTTCGACCCAAATTGTAATTATTAAATTAACGATTATAAATCAATTAGTAACCGAAAAGATAATTACAACAATCATTGAGAATTAATTACCAATCGAAGATCATAATAAGACCTGAAGATAAACAGTTCCGTCGAATCGAGTCCGGAAATTTTGCGAATTTCAAAAATTCGATAGGTGAACTTTTTCGACAAAGGTAACATTCAATTCGAAGATTAATTTAAATTCTTAACATGAGAACTTTTTCCAACCACAATTAAATCAAGAATACATTCACCTTAATCTCTTGTAAATTACAATCAACTTTAATTGTGAATTCAACAGAAAATTAAAGTTAATTTGAATGCTGAAATTTACTTTTACTTTTAGCGTTGAAACCTCTTCAAAATCAAATTAAGAGTCAATTTCTAACAATTAAAAATCGTGAACTAACCTTTTGATTACTTTCCAACCTTTAATTAAGTATATGTAACAATTTGAACATCTCACAAATTAATTAATCTCAATAAATCAAACCAATCATTTGATTATCAAGTTAAACATTTAATCACAAACTAAACATTAGAAACTCAAAGTTATCAAACTTTTTTCTTAATCTATCAATCAGCTGATCATTATCTTCCTCATGCTTATCATCCAATCAAATCACTTTATCAAGTTTTTATATTGTTCTTGAAGAAAAAAAAATCAAGATATTTAATCAGTTAATCAAGATTAACCCTAGATTATGATTGACCATCCAATTTACAGAGGCATCTTTGTGACAAGATCTTAATCTGACAATACTGATTGAGATGATCAGGGTGATCAAGATGAAGATGATGAAGTGCTTGCGACATATTTTATCATTTAATCACAATTTATCATCTTTCCATCATCTTAATCATAATCATCTTCATCCTTAAACTTGAACTCGGTCAGTAAGTTGGTACATTTACTTTGAGTTAGAAAAAAAATTAATAATAATAATAATCAATGCGAACTTGTTAATCTTAAGAAAAAAACTTTTGCACAATTAAATTTAATCCAATATTACATTACAATCAATGTTAATCATCAGTTAATCTGGTGTATCTTAATCATGATCATTATTTTACCTGATCGATAATTTTTTCCTCAAAAAATGTAATATTAAATTTCATTGTTGAAATTGTAATACTTCAATTTAATCCACCGATGGATTAAGTTAAATTGCTCAGTCTAACTGTCAACTGGTGATTGTCAACAATTAAAGATTAATTGTTTATTTGATTGCAGAAAGATGAAGATTGACAATCAATTAGATTTTATTTTCATTCTCTAGTAACAAAAAAAAACCATAATCAAAGATTAGGATCAAAATTGATTAGTGGACGTTGATTAATTTATATAATCATCTCAATCCACTGGATTACATATGTTTAAATCAAAGTCACAATCAAAGTTAATCACTTGTCACTGTTAACTGTATTCACTTTGATTAAGTTAATCAAATCATGATGAGAGCACCAATGGAGGTCCATTGAAGTAGAAATTTAAAGAAAAAAAAATCAAATCAATTGATAATTAATCTAATCCATGGATTAGATGGAAAGAAGAAAAAAAAAGTTCATGGTAATCATCAGAAAGATTAACCAATTAAAGTCAAAATCAAGTTTGAAGAAAGTGAATTAACTATTACAATCAAGAGTCAACAATTAAAACTAATCAACCTGTTAAATGGTTTTCGCATGAATAATAAACTTTTATTTTCCTAAACTCGAAATGAAACAAAAAAAGTTAATCCATTTTCGTGGTTTCAATTGTTTCCTGTCAACATCGTTCTTCCTATCGATTGATTAACCATTTGAAACAATTTAATAAACTGATTGTTGGGTGTGTATGTGATTAGAAACATCAACAATTAAGCAGGTCAATTTACAGCCGAAAGGTTAAACTAATAACAATTAAATTTGTATCGATTTTAAATGACGGGATAGTTTAATTGTTTTGTGATATTGAAAGAATGGAAAATAAAAGTTAATACCCTAATTGTTTGTTAATCGTTTGGTGAACAATTAACTAATCATAATAATTAACTGTTCCATGAATTTATATTAAACAATAATGACGGAAATATAAATCATATCTCAAGGTAAATATCATCATCTTTTAATTGTTGTTACTATTACTGATTGTTAAACCAATTCTATTAATAATAATAATCAATTAAACTTTCAAGTGTCTGTTTATGATATTAAACAATTACTTATGATTGCTCATAACAATTAAAACCTAAATTGGATTAATTTAGTGAAACTTTATGATTAACAATTATCGTGTTGATTATAATCATTATCACATAATTGACCTTAACCTGGTTAAATTGTAAAGGGAGATAAACTTTCAATGTCATAATGATGAAGATGAAGATGAAGATGATGAATGAAATTATTTCCTATTCATGATATAATATAATTCATGATATCAGCACGATACCTGAGATTTGAATGAAATGAAATCCATGATAAATAATGAATGGATAAAATGAAAAGTTTATCCACTAATCGTGATGATCAAATTTAACTGTAACAACAATTAATTTTACTCTTTTAACACAATCATGATCATAGTAATCAACAAATTATCATGAGAGTTTTTTTTCTGGAAAAAAAATATCTTATCCTTGACCATTCAACCAACCATATTGAACTTAATTAAGTTCATAGTTGATTGAAGTTAAATCATTTCCTTGATTCTGTTTTTTGATTTACTTCCTCTCTCTCTCTCTGTATGATAAATTGTTAAATTATCTAAACAATTAACTGGTCTTTGATTGATTTAAATTGTTCATCTATTATTATTAATATAATTTCTTGATTTTCTAATTGAATAATATTTTTATTTTCATTATTATTTAATATTGAAGAGGAGTTGATGATGAAGATAAATAAATAGAATCGTAATCCTAACAATTAGTTGTTAAACTAATAATAAACTCGATTTAAACAATTGACAAGATTGATTGACAGTTAGTTGGTTAATCATAATTAGAATAATAATAATCTGAATGATTAATCAAAAAGAGAAAAGAAAATAAATGAAAACAATCAACGAACGCGATTTAAGAAATTGACAATTATCAAAGTTTTGAGGAGAAAAAATTTTTTGTTGTCTTTACTAAGTGAGAATTGTAAGTTGATCATAAATGTTTCTAGAAGGATAATTAAGAATAATAATTAAGGTGATTAAGATGAGGATGAAAGTGATGACAGGGATGATGATGAAGATCACGAGCTAGATTTCATTATTAAAAGATTCATCGTCAGATGAATTGAGATCAACACAAGCACATTTAGTGTGGTTGACGTAGGTCAGTTTCTCAATGTTTTGCTGTTGACGAGGTTTCTTGTTGTGATGGCGATGATGATGATTATAATTGGATGAGGATGATGACGATGAGTAGGATGATGAGGTTGATGAGGATGAAGGTGACGAACTGCTATTGGCAACAAGGGTCACGGTGAAAAAGTAAAGTTCAACCATTTCCGTTGAAATGGGTCGGCACGATTGGAAGGCCTGTGGACAACAACCCGTCGAATCTGAGCATCGGTGAAGAATTGTGCCTCTTGGAAGATAAACTTTCGAGGGATTATTTGAGTTAACGTAGACAATTTCGGGCTTGGGTGTTCGACATGAACCAAATTCACGAATTTTAACTCCATGTTCAAAGGCAAGGGAAGCTAAATTTTCCAAATTTGATCGAGTGGTACGAGAGTTAATTGTTCCCGTTGTGATTGTTGATCCTTCGATTGGATTAATCAAACTGTCCAATAAAAGACTTGTCAATAGTAAAAATGATAACATTCCAGTGGAAGTGTCCAGGTAATTGTGGTTAATTAAACTGTTCATTTCACTTAATTGTTTGCGACGAAAAATAAATTTGGAAAAAAAAAAGTTTTTCTTTGCCGTTCGAACACAAAATCTCAATGAAAAACGATTTGAATTGTTGATTAAACTTTTCTCATAGACTTATAAAAAAATCACTTTCTTGTTCAATCAAATCCTTAATTACTGTTAAATTGTTGTTTACTTATTGATTGTGAGATTTAATCTTGTTTCAAATCTCAGTCAATGGCAAGTAAAAGGATGAAACTTAGGAGCAACTTGTTTGAGTGAGTTGATGGTGATAATAGAGAGAGAGAGATACTGATGCTGATGCTGATGATGATGATGATGAAGGCTAAGATGATGATAAACATGATGAGAAGGATGATAAACATGAAGACAGACAGAGGGTGGGATAAGTATATGAGAGAGAGAGGTAATAATGATAAGAAGGAGGATAAGAAAAATGAAAGAGATGATCACCCAAAGTCTTATAATATACAAGGAACAAGTTCTAATCATGATTAAGTTAATCATGATTAAGATTGTTATTAGGTAACCAATAAACACTATTGGCATGAAGCCAACAATTTAAATTGAATCTAATTAATCTAATCCCTTATCCCTCCCTTAATATGAGTTTGTGTGTATGTCCGATTGTGTTTATGTCCATTTAATTAGGTTGATTTAAATTAAAAAAAAAGTTAATCTCCTTATCACAATCAACTGTAATTAAATCAATGATTTCAATCAACTTCCGATGATCATGTTAATTGTAAGAGTAATTGGAAAATTAAATTATTATCATCACTTGAATCTAAATGATAGTATCTAAGGTTAGATTTGATCATTTCTCATCATCAAAGTTAATCAGTTGATTGATTTAAAAATCTAATCACAATATATAAAAATAGTTAATTGTAGTTAACTATTCTCAACATTTACAAGATGGTTAAGGAAAAAGGGAAAGTGTTGTTTTAATTATCATCTCCTAATCAAGATAATCATCAACATAAATCATCAACAATTTAAGATGTTCAAGTGAAAAGGATTAAGATTAAAATTTTAATTTAAGTGATTTAATTTTGTACTCAACTAATTGTAACCCTGATTGTTGTTGAAAACTAATTTTGTCATCATCTTCAAAGTATATATTTAATTTACTAACTTATTATTATTATTATTGTTCATTAATTAACTTAATTTGGTTAAACTTTCATAGTTACTAATCAAAGATTTAACTTTAAATAGTTTCATATTTACGCCTTAATTGTTATCGTTAATATTTGAATATCATCTTAATCATTTTGATTGAATTTAAATTTCCTTTTAAGGTATTGACGAGTTGTTATCATTTAATTTAATTACAATCTATTAACACCTTATACAAGAAAATGATTGAGTTTAATTGTTTCAATTTTTTTCCTCTTGTTATGGTTAATGGTTAATCATTTCAATTGATTTGATTTGCATTTTCAAGTGTTGAAAAAGGTCAGCAATTTAAATGGTTAACAATTAACAATCTATATAAAAGTTGATTGTAGTTAATTTTTTTTGTAACATTTTTTATAACTACTTGAGACTTATTTTTGATTGTGATTAAGTATTGGTTCACAATTAACTTCCTTAATATATTTAATAGCTCATTTAAATGGTTGTTGTTATTGTAAGGAAAAGGTTAATGAACAATAATAATAGTAATCAAATAGTTACAATTTACTAAATTGTTTCAATTTGTTGATTTGTGTTAGTTAATTAAAGTTTGAATTTGATTTCATTGATCAAATTAACCTTGAATTAATGACTGTTAATTAACGTTATCATCAAGGGGCTAATACATGTTATTGATACAAAACAGATTAATATTTGACAATAATGAATTGAAACAATTTAACCTTGTAATTAAATTAAACCAATTCAATGATAATAATTAAAGATATTCAGTTAAACAATTAACTAATCATTTCCAAAACAAATAAACTTATCTCAAAACTGTCAGTTACACCTTGTCCTTAGGCGATATAATATGAATGACGACAACTTTAAATTAAATCATATTAATTATAATTGAGATGGAAAAAAAATCCAAATGGAAAACAATTAAGCGAAAACACAATTAACTAAATCGTTGGAAAGAAAATTTTGTTTTTTCTTTTTTCGCTCAATAGATGGAGACACTTTTCGATGTTTTCATTTTGATTTTGGAAATGAAAAAGTCTCAAAGCCTTGATTACATTTCTTAATATTATGTTATCTTTAATTGATTAATTGTTGTTTTCTAATTGTTCTCGTGGTTTATCAATCATCATTTCACCAAGATGATTATCAACATGTTGATTAGAGTAAGTGTAAGTAGATTAAATGCTTGGAACATTGTTAACACTTTTTGATTCATAGATTTACTTTTATTTATGTTTTTCTATTTTGGTTTTTTTTTCTTCATCTCAATTGTCATCAGTCAATTTTTACACGTATATTAATTGTTACTTATCTTTTTTATTCTCTCTCCCTCTCTCTTTTTATTCATTGTTTTTACAGGTGAAATGTGATCTTTGGGTTTCATAGGGAATTCAGTTAGAGAGGTTGTGAGTTGTATTCTCTTGAAAGTTTCAAAGAGAAAAGAAACAAATAGAGAAAAGTTAAAGGTAAACAAATCATCACAACGATGGCAAAAAGATGGGGAACTGTGGGTTTATGTTCAATTGGAAATTTGATTAACTCAGCTGATCGGATAATCATGCCGATTGCCATAATTCAGATGACAGATCAATACAAATGGAGTCTTTACTGGCAAGGTTGGATTCTCAGTTCATTTGCATTCGGTTATATAACTAGTCAGGTGAGTGTTAAAGTTGAACAAGAAATCTCTTTCTATCATAATGGCTTTTTTCATCTCTCTCTCTCTTTAATATCTTTGATTTATTATTAATTCTTTTCCTTTTTCTTTATATGATATTTATTTAGTTAATCGGTGCCCGAGCTGCCACTAGATATGGAAGTAAAAAAGTCTTAGCCTGGGCTGTTTGTCTTTGGTCCGTTTCCACACTCATTACACCTTTAGTTACACCTCATTTATATCTTTTAATTGCTTGTAGAATACTTTTGGGACTTGGAGAGGGATTAGGTTGGTAATTATGTTCATCCAAACATATGATTGTTTTCCAAAAATCTTTCATTTAATTTATTGACATTCGATAAATTAACTGATGATTTATTTTCTCTCTGCTTTTTCTATCCTTATGATTAAATATTAATATTTACTCTTATTCTCTTTCTCTCTCTCTCTTCAGGTTTACCAACAATATTTACTATTTTTGCTCAATCAGTGCCGGTTCAAGAAAGATCTTCAGCTTTTGGTTACCTGATAGGTGCCGGGCATGTTGGTCAAACTTTGGCTGCTCTCATATGTCCTCATCTTAATTGGGAGCTTTCATTTTATCTTTTTGGTAGCCTTGGGATTGTTTGGCTTTTTGTTTGGATGGTTGTATATAAAGAAGAGAAATTACCTCAAGAAGATGAATTACCTTTAGTTTATTCAAAAACTGGAGCCAAACAAGTTCACTGGGCTCGATTTCTTTGCCATTGGTCCTTATGGGCTATTTATATCGCTCATTTTGCAATGAATTGGTCTAATTACATAATAATGCAATGGTTACCTACTTATCTTTCAAGATATTTAGGCGCTAACAAAGAATCAATCAGTTTAACGGCAGTACCTTACATAGTCAATTCCTTGTTCGGAGTTTGTAAGTATTTTTTTTGTCTCTTCTTGTTTCTTTCGAATGTCAAGACAATTAACTCAATCTTTTGATAATTTCTATACAGTTTCAGGTCATTTGGCTGATTGGTTAATAGCTAAAAATTGGTCTATTCTCTCTGTTCGACGAATCATGACCGCTGTTGGCCTTTTTGGACCAGGGATTTTCTTGATATGTTTTTGTACAGTAAATAGTTTATTATACGCAGTGATATTTGTATCCATATCGATGGGTCTTTGTGCCTGTAACTCGGCGGGTCATCTTTCTAATCACACTGAAGTTGCTCCAAAACACGCTGGATTAACCTTCGCAATCTCAAATACTTTGGCCACCATACCTGGTATTCTGTGTGGACCCTTGACCGCTGAACTTGTTGTGCAATCGCATGGTCGTTGGTTTCCAGTTTTCATTATTGCAGCAGCGATTAATTTTGTTGGAGGAATTATTTATGTTAGTCAAAGTACAGCGAATCCAATTTATCAATGATGCGAAGAAAAATAAAACAATCATTATCAATGGAACAAACAAAACAAAGCAAAACAAAAGGAAACACAATTCATGAGAAAAACTTGATATTCCTTGATCATCCTCATTCTCATCTTCATCCTCATCATAATTATGGTACATATTGTACTCTTGTCGTGTTTTTATTTATATATATACAATTGATTTAAATTATTCAGCAAACACCAACAATCATCATGGTTTTTATCAACTCTCTTCATGTAAAAGGTGACAAGTATCAATCTTCAAACCAGCTGGAATGGTGGAGACATTTTTTTTTACATTTACTATTGAAAACAATTGGAACTCAATAATTCATTGATTCGTTTAACTCAAAGATTCATCAATCTGATTGATTGAATCCTCACCGTTTGGATGGTTACATGTGAACGTTACCTGTTTCTTTTAACACGAACCTCATTCAGAAGATAATACGTCAACATGTAAACAGAAGGAGAACCGAAACACTTTCAATCACATGAGAAGCAATTAACGCTAATTATTTTGGGAATAATACTAATATTTTATCAATACAATCGTAGATGAAAAAGGTTGAAGAGAAAAACAAAAAACCCCCGAAAAAGAAAAGATTAACAATCAATGAAATGAAATTAATATTTTTGCTAAACTCTCAATACCAAATAAGAGAAAAAATAATCTCATTAAGAAAAACACAATTAAAAATGATTCTCTTTATTCTCAATCTATTTAATTAACCTTTTATGTTATATATAAAAGTTATAATAATAGTTGTAAAAATTAATTTTCCATTTCGGTTAATCTCTTATCCGTTTTCAAGATTATTATTTCTCACAAGGTTTTACACCTTTTGATTTAATCCAATCTAAATATTTGGCTACCCAAGTGTAGATACCGGGTACATCAGGGGAACCACACTTGGTCCATGAACCAGTAACCAGACCGACAAGAGAATCGCCTAAGGAATCAGAATAAATCAAAGGTCCACCCGAATCACCAGGACAAGTATCACCTCGAGTTTGCTGATTAATTGCACAAAACTGAGTTTCCAATAATTCGGGAACTTGATTAGGATCCATTTTTTTACTAGTTAATTGTCGATCAACGAAACTTTGTCTCTCCGATTCACATTCATCCCCTGTAATTGATATTTTTTTACATATATAAAAAAACATTGGAATCAATTAACACATGGAAAAAGTTAACTTTTCACTTACGTGTAAGGTAATTAACTTTAACATAATTTAGATAATAATTATCATCTTCATCACTACCATCAATCGTACCAAATCCAGCGGCAGTCAATTCCTGGTTATCGGTTAAATTGTCACCCTTGTGAATACAAATTGGTTCAATTGTGACAGGAGAAGATAATCTGATTATCGCTAAATCATGAGCCATAATCCAGTCGGCGGAGATATTAAATTCTGGATGAATGTAATACAATTCCGTTGGATTAGGATTCCTCATGGGCCATGGTTCCTCCGTTATATTCAACAGAGAGTAAATGTCCGCGGGCTGAGCCAAAGTTTCAGCGTCAATGTAAAGACAATGAGCCGCTGTGAGTAAGTGACGCTCATCGATCAGGGTACCACCACACTCGGTGAAATAATCATCTTCTGGAGGGAAAACTCTGAATCGAAAATGATTTAATTGTTTGATGATCATTGATTATTAACTTTACCTTAAATAAGAAATCCATGGGAATTGATTTTCTTTTGCTGCTGTACCTTTGTAAATACGAGGTTTTAATTTCAAAGATTCTGACAATTAATGGAAAAATGTAAATATAATTAGTTAATTGTTGATTCATTATTATTATGTGATACTACGACTATTGTTATTATTGTAACATACTTGATGAGGATTGATTTGATTGAGTGATTATAATGGAAACAATTAGAAATAGTTTAATAATTGTTATTGAAACATGATTATACAAGAAACTGATAGTTGATTAACTTTACTTGTTGACAGTTAAAGTTAACACAATCGACTGAAGAAATTAGTAAAGTAACAGTTTCATTTAAATAGAAATAGAAAAAGCTATTCAACAATTAACTGATCATCACAATTAACTCCCACTGTTTTATCTGACATTTTGTAAAAAAACAATTAACTGTCAAATAAGTAGTTCAATTGAGAATTGAATTAATCAGGTGTCAGATGAATCGATGGCGGCAAGAAAACGAACCAAATCTTTAGCTAAAGACCAGCGATGATTATTTTTGACATTTTCCAATAATTTGGTCGCATATTGACGACAGACTGATGATTTTTCCAAATTTTGTAAAATTATGATAAAAGAAGCAGCAGTTTCCAAGCGATCTTCATCTAAACATTTTTGAAATAGATCTTTAGGATTACCAAAAACGGTGAAAAGATGAGGCCAAAGAGCTAATTCAGTCTTTCGAGCACAATGAACAACAGTTTCCAAAAAGAATGGAAATTCACGGATAAAGTCAATAACTCGAGGTAATAGTGCATCAGGAATGGGTTTGGATGATGTTGCCTCCTCTTCAAGAACCTCGTGTAAAAGTAACTCAAGGGAATGGGGAAAATATGGAAGATTTGAGCAAGAATTGGCAATTTCCCAGGCTTGGATTCCGAGACTGAAAAGAATAAGAAAAAAAAATAAAAGTTTATCAAATCAATTGTTGCAGAATCAAAACAAAAGAAACAAAATTAACAAATACTAAATTGGTAATTTACTTTTGTCTGAGAAGACCTCGTAGTATATGATGAATATAAACTTGGCTTGTTCGGGATATAACACAGAAGGGAAGGTTAATTGGGCAACTTCGTCCAACGAAAATGGTATCGTTCTCAGCACCAAGGACAACAGCATCTCTAAATAAAACAGCTGAGAGAAAGAGAGAAAACAATAAGGTTAACCATTTGGGGAAAAAATCAGTGTAATATAAACTAAAAGGCCTAAATAAGGTTTGTTGAAATTGTATTGATCAAATCGCTTATCTAATCGACACAATTCATTCATTCATTTAATACTCACCTAAAGGATAAATGTGAGTGTTTATTGGTAACATTATGCGTTTGGACATGAAATTATGAGCTCTTGATGCTGGGAAAGTTTTCTCATCCGCTGAAGGTAAAAGTGGAAGCCAAACTCCCATACCATTGGAGCCACATGATAGCCAAAGGGCATTGGTCAAATGTGGACGATCATTGATCATCGAAGCAGAACTAGAACTGGAAATGTTGGACGAGAATCGAGATGATTCATGAGTTTCACTTTTACTGCTTGCACTTGAATTAAGACTACTATTACTCTGACTTAATCTACTGCTGCTAGAACTTATACTTTGGGTTATCACGTTAGTTGATTGTTGAGCTGGTGAACAAATTAAATTAGCTGGTCGTGAGATCCAAATGTTTTCAACTCCAGAGGCAAGTTTGGAAACAATTCTGTAAGTTAAAGGTGATCCATCAGTTGTTTCCTCGTTTCCATGATCAATACCATTTGGATTATCAGTGTAACTATTATTATTATAACTAATATAATTTGAAGATATTGAACCTTGACCATTGGGTAACATATTATTGACACTACCAGAGATTGAATTAGATTCTGAGTTATGGTTATCACTTGAACCGCCATTTAAACTATTATCACCGCCGACACCACTTGCAGTTGAACCTTTTTTCTTTTCCAATAGAAACAAACGTCCACAGATATTTAATAAAATCGATGGATCAGCTGATTTAATTAAGGGCTCATTGTGAATGGTGGACAATACGATTGAGGTAAAACATTGTGGTGGAACATTTAATGTATCGATAATTATTTCATTAACGAAACGTATTCGAGATAAATTTGTTCCATGATTATAATTTTGAGATTGGATTAACGATGAATTGACATGAGCAATATCAAAATTGAACAAATGAATTGACCCATCTAAAAGTAAAGTAAGCATTAGATTATCTAATATTGACATTAGATGTACTTCTGCTGGCACTTTGATTAATTTTAAAAATTGATTATCCAATTTCATCTTCTGTGGATAAGCTCGAATCTCATAATTTCCATCTTCCAAATTGTAACAAGACATGATAATATGATCATTCCACCAAAGTAAACCTCCTCTCACTTCAAAGTCTTTCTCTTGGGTTTCATTACCAAACAATTTCCACTTTCGAGTGACAAGACTGTAATGAGCGAAACCCCTTGAACCCGCAACGGCAATTGAATTACCTTTACTATCTATTGCTGCTAATCGAATAGGCCAATTATTTGCTAAATATGAACTGGGCATTTGAATGATGATCCATTGATAGTTACCAATTTCAAGAGGTTGACGTTCCCAGGAAACATCAGAATCTGCATTAGTTGAAGGAAGATTATCCATATTATGGTCATTATTATCTCCGTTTCCTTTTCCACCGGCTCGGTGCTTTTCTTTACTTGAAATACCATTACTTTGAATCTCAGGTGATACTGATGCAGCACCAACGCCAAGATAAATACGATCTTCAGTGATAAGTAGTACATCTTCACCTGGTGATCCCATTACGGATGGATTACAAGCTAGGACACTTTTAGCAAGGGTAAGTTGATGAACTGAATCAAAAAAGTCACTGGTTGACTTTTTAACCGCCATCCATAGTTGGTAACCCTCTCTGCCCCATGCAAGATGGGAGAAAGCACTGAAATTTGATCGGCAATTATCAACAATCCCATAATCCCAAGATAATGAACAAGCTAAAAGAGCACCGAAAACACTCCAAAGAGCAAAACCTCCCCGTTCCCATGAAGTAGCAATAACATTAGAATCAGGTGACCATTGGACACAATTCATTGGACCGGCAGTTGATGATGCATTGGGAAAGGAACTTGGTGAAAGTATAAGTCGATGGCTTATGATAACAGATGCATTAACTTCATCGATGCAACAAAGAAGACCTTCAGAGTTTCGAAGTCCAAAAGCTAATAATTGATATTTATGGTTTATAGCTGTACAAACAAAATTATCTACATCAGGTACAAAACGAAGACGTGAAGGTCGATATTTAGGTTCAGCGGATAGATCTTGTTCTGATTCAGCTTGAGCCATTAGAGGTAAAAATCCACCATGACCATTGGTAAATACTATTGAGAAGCCACCAATCATGGAGGAATATTTAATATCACCAATTGTATGATCTGTTTCGGTTGTTACAAATGGCAGGATATCACTAATTTTAAAATTAAAATCATAATCCATTGAACCGTCCCAGTTGACACCAAAAACTTCCGATGTTTTTGTACAAACGATAACCTCTTCCTCGGCGGACATGATTCTATTAGTGTCAGAGAAAGAGAAACAATGAAAGAAAATTGATTAAACATTGTTAGTGTAAAACAAAAGTCAGAAGGAGAAGGAAAAAAACAGAAAATTAAAAAATAGAAGCAGAAAAATTGATTACTGAAGAGATGATTCGATTTCATTAATTTGGAAGGGAAAAGGTTTGTTCTGGTTAAGGGTCTGAAGGAAATTTCTCTCTCTCTCTCTCTCTCTCTCTCTCTTTCTCACTATCTCGCTCACAGAAAGATGATAAAGGAAAAACATGAAGAAAAACAATCTTAGTGCTTTACAGATGACTAGGTGTTGTTTAACGGAGCATCACTGACTCAGCAATGCGGAACAACGTTTCATGTTTCAAAACATTTGAAGGATTAGTTGAGTGTAGGTACTGCTAGTTGGATGAAGTTTCGGAAAAGGAAAAGCCAAGTGAGAGAGAGTGAGAAACAAAAAAAAAGTTATTCAAGAATAAAAGAAGAGAGAGAGAGAGAGAGAGAGAGAGAGAGAGAGAGAGAGAGAGAGAGAGAGATTTTGATTTTGGTTTGGTTGAGAGTATCATGGAAAATGAAATTAAAGAGAAAGAATATATGAGAGTGGGAAGAGAATTGTGAGAAGGATTAATGATGAGACTAATCCAATAAGTTGGGTTTGATTTGTGTTGATTATCATCGGATTATCAGATGCTAACCTAGAAATACCGGGATGTATTTTGATGGATATTGTGAATACCAAGAATAACGAGGGAATCTTTTCTTGGATAAATAGTTCAGCTGATTCTCGTCGGAAACCATTAACACTGGAATCTTCTTGACGAAATAGCTCTTCATTTGGATCTTTGAGGCCACACTTGTAAAAGAGAAGATAATCTTCGGTTGTTTGTACCACAATTGTACTCGAATCTGGTCTCCAATCGGCACTTAAATTATAACCAAAAGTGTTGATTGAATTGTCATTACGAGTATGGAAAACAATCTCAACTGAAGGCTGTTGGGTTTTTAAACCAGAAGGAAATGAAAAGAGATTGAGAAAGAAAAAGATTAGTGAACATACAAAACAAAACATATAAAATGAATAAGGAAAACCACTTGACAGGAGAAAAAGAGAACCAGTAATAATCAGTTAATCATTATGAAACTAGACAATCAAGTAAAAAGAATGATAATCAAACGTCAATTTAAAATAAAAAACAAACAATTTTCAACTTACCTTACAAAACCAAACCCTAAGACTTGTATTGGTAAGAATGAGGATTAAATTTCTTTCATTATTTGAAGATATTTCCAGAATATGATCTTTAGGTATATCTTCAGATAATCCATCTTTAAGGTAACGTCGTTTAAAATCAAGGGCGATATTTTTTGGCCAGCCAACGGGATAATACATAATCAAATCAATCTAATCATCAGCTATTGAAAAAAAGGTTGAGACTTTGACCATACTATAAACGGAATTCACCATTAAAACGTAATCGTTTCCTTTTTTTTCCTCTCTTTCTCTATCTCTCTTAATATGCTGGATAAATTGGATCACTTAGAATGTTTGATTAACTCCTGAAGATGAAGAAAAGAAAACAGGAAAATTTATGATGATGATGAAGAAGAAAAAAAAGATGATGAACAAGAAAATAGATAAATTAAGGTTCAAAGGTAAAGGGTTGAGAAAAAGAAAACTGGAAATTGATTATTGACGAGAATGTTGATTACTTGAAATCACGAGAATTAATATCAGTAGATTTTGGTAGAATACTGATAATTGATTTGTTCTCTAGAGAATTTAAAGAATAAATTATTCAACAAGATGAAGATGAAGAAGGTGAAGAAAAAGAAAAGAAAAGAACAATAACAACAAGGAGGTTACATGTAAAAACACCAGAAGAAGAAGAGAAAAAAAAAGAGAAGAGAGATGATGATTACGATAGAATTATTGTATTCAATTGGTTAATATATTAATTGAAACCGTAGAAAACACTGGGGAACATACACATAAACACAGAGAAAATTGTAAATAGAAAAGAGTAAAAAATTAGCAAAGGAGAGAGAGACAGAGATTTTAAAGAGAAATTGAAAAAAAAAGAGAAACAAAAAATTAAAATGATAGATGAAGAAGCATAGAAAACATCACTTCAATGTGAAGGTTAAAAAGATTTGATAAATCATTTACTGTCAGTTTTCTGCCTTATTTTCCAGTGACACTTTTAAATTACCAAATTAGTAAACAATTGAAAACAAATAAAGAAGAAAACAATTAACTAGTAGAAAAAAAGGAAACAAAATTGGAGGTAAAATTAAGTTGTTTTAATTAAAGAAACATGAAAAAGAGGCCAACATAAATTCACCACCTCAACAACACTTAGTTTTCCATCTCACCGACAGAGGCATTGGAATAGAATCGAAATTCGGCTTAGTGGCGAAAAGAAACCAAGCCGATTCTCAGTTGATCTTTTTCTCTTTTACCTCAGCCACCGATAGAAGGCGATACCTGACCAACCGATTTTATTCTTGATCAACTCGTTAATTGAACTCGCAATTTGTTGATTATCATGATGGTCCATATGTTAATCGATGGATTATCGGTTCATATTGAGAATTTGTTTTTGAAAGAGCAAATAAAATGTTCGAAATGGAACAAAGTTACAAGAATAGTTTTCATTTTTCTCATCTTATATTCGATATTTCCACTTTTCTCCTATTATTTTCGTCCTGAATGCCCGGAGGAGTTTTACCTATTAAATGGTTTGAAATCGGTCGATTAGTTGACAATATCAATTGTGTTTAATATTGATAAGTTAATCTGTTGTAACAATCAAGTGAGAAAATGTTTTAGTTTCAACTGATATTTTATAACTTTTGATAACTTTAATCAATACAAGAGATGATAAAGAAAAGTATAAAATTTCAATCGATTGAAGGTAAAAATTTGCTTTGATTGATTTTTTTTCTCTCCATCTCTTGGAACTTATCATAATTCTTATTCCCTTTCTCAACTGCTCTATCTCATGCTGGAAATGAGAGATGATGAAAGTTTCATGAAATTGAAATTTATAGGTTGATACAATTGTATTAATATTCATTCATCAACTAATTAAATTTTCATTTCTAATCAACAGTTGAATTGTCAAGCTGCCTCCATCAACTAAATTGTAACATTTCATTTCAGCTCATTCTGATTTCTGATCACATTCATGACATTTTCATCCTTCATATTAACATCGTATTAGGTGTAAAAGGTTATCATGACTGAGAAATATTAATCTGTAGCTAAGATGGAAAAGTGTAATATCTTTAGCTGAACTTTTTCCCTTTCCATCCATGAAGTTCATGATATCCTAATATCAAAAAGGAAGTTGTTATTGTTGTTGAAATAACGGGAACACAAGTCTTCAGGCTTTAATTACAGTTACAATTGTAAACTACTTCATCCGGTTTCAATGATCTTCAAGAATACAATCAGGGGAGAGGGAGAATCTTTTATTACTTGAATCTTATTGGATAATCGGTTGAAACATTGATGAAAGAAGATTAAATCTTATATGTGACTTGAGATTAAGGTGAACATGTTGAACAATTGAAAGTTTCCTTTACTTTTTACATGAACAAATTATTCAGAACTTATTTAATGATTTTCATGATTACTTTTGACTTGAGAATCATGAACACAAGAATCAAAATGATTTCTCCTTTAGTTTCATTTCATTAAATCTAACATTTCATCAGTTTTCCTGATTTCAAGTAAATTTTTATCAACTAATCAGATTAACTATTAGACTTTTTTTTTGCTTCGTTTTCTTAAACATTAAATTTTCATTGGCTAACGAAAAGTTGATGAAGATTGAGGTTGTTTTCAGTATGTAGATGATAAAGAAAGAGATGAGGACTGTCTTAGATGATACAATGATGATGATGATAAAAGGTGGGGTAAACGCAGCTGATGAAAACAAAGATTCGAAATGAAAATTGAGTCGAATGTCAAACTCATGCGGATTATGAGAAATAGCTTGAAGATCGTACGAACTCAGAACTTTTCACTCCCACAATTTCTCATTTCAATATGGAAATAAAATATATTATAACAGAGAGAGATAGAGAAAGAAAGAAAGAGAGAGAGAGAGAGAGAGAGAGAGAGAGAGAGAGAGAGAGAGATTAATAAAGAAAAACGTAACTTCCTCAGCAGGTAATCAGAAATACTCATCAATCGTTATTTGTTTGTTGACAGAATCGTCATATCGAATTGTAAAGAACGGAAAAGAAAAGCTAAAAAAGAGAAACAGATAAAAAATGTAACATATTATCTAATAGATAATTCATAAAGTTTATTATCTTCTATCATCATTATCATCATGATATTAAATGGGAGAGTACGAAGCTCACTATTAGTAGCTGATTGAATTTTCTAAAGGGAGAAAAAGAAATACAGTGAAATTGAACAAAAGAACAAAAGAAAAAAAAGAAAATTCTTTTTGCGTCGATCATCAAGTCAACATTCAGTTCGAATCAGAACAGGTACAAAATTATCGACATCTTATTGTAATTCTTTGTCCTCTCAAAAGTAAAAGAAAAGTTCACAATCGAACTAAAGAAATTGTCTCCATTCGATTGATCATTTTCATCTATAGATAATCTATTAAAACATTGAATTCTTTTTATTCTATTTCAATCCCTTCCCCTGATTGATAATTTATTCAGTTTCCAATCATCTTCAATATCTTTAACTTGACCTTTTGTCGATTATCATTGGAATGAGTAGCAAATGATCAACAATTTACTCCGCTGACCAATAGTTGCTTTGGAATGAGAATCATCCAGAAAAACCTGAATAAAGAATAAATTATTTCGATAACTTCATCGAACCATCAAAAGTTTTGTCAAATTTTTTGACTAGATCTATGAAAATTAACCACAACAAACAATCATAAATCTATCGTTATTATCATCTATTAAATCAGATTAATATGTTATCCAAAATATCATCTTCGTTTTCCGTTCAGTTCAACATGATCACGATTGTTTGTCTGATCTTTTTATTGAACCAACAATATGTTCATCTGGAAAAGATAAATTCTTCATCCAATATCCATGAAAAAGTTGTCCCTCCGTTAAGGAAACGATCTGCTTTCCCTGAGCGTCGATTGGATTGTGATCTTTTCTGCCGCCGAACAGGTTTCGCAGGGTCAATCGGTGGATGTCAGTGCGGTTACACTTTGTTCAACGTTAAAAGATCAGATGAGTAAGTATTGAATTCTCTCATTTGTTGCGTCCCGATTTCCTTTTCTCTCCAATTCGATCATGTAAAGATCGCTCCCATCGAACCTATGATGAAACTTTTCTCAAACTATTAATATTATAAACACTAAAGGTGTAAAGCCGCACATAAACGGCTACGAACTCTAGTCTAGAACAGACTAAGGGAATACTTTTCATCAATTGATTATTCTCGTTTTTCAAATCGAGCCAAATGTCGATTCCTCGTTAATTAAGTTTCTACAGATTCGACAAAAAGATCTAATATAATAGTAAATGATGCTCGAGTATCTGTATTTATTATCCCACTTGTTGATTATAAAATAAAGATGAGGATGAAAAATCAAAACGATAAATCGATAAATCTTATTTTCATTTCTTTTATCAGTGTTTTCATTATCATCTTCAATATCTATAATTAGAGATAATTTTAAGCTTTTATTGTGAACATCCTTCCGCTCGTAATAATTATTGTTAATCAAGGGACAAATTTTGCGAATCGACAATTAATCTGATTGATTTATCTGAATGATCATGTTGATTGAATTGATAGTAGATTGAAAGTTTATTGGATATTGATCATAAACTATTATTGATTAAACAATTTAACCAATTTGTGCGCAAATCAATTAAATGTTTTTAATCAAATTTTGTTTAGTTATTTTATCAAATACTCCACCTACCGATTAATCATCTACCTTTTATTATTATGATTGTTATTTTTTTGACAGATTATCAGATTATACAGATGAACCTTGGTTGAACTGGATTAAATTGCGAAGGTCAAAATTTCTGGACAAAATTGGCTCTTCATCAAATTCTGGATTAACTCCGGGAAGACTATCACCTTTGACAGTTAACTCATACAATTCTGAGCCAACTTCTTTATCGTCATCTTTAAAATTGGCACAGATACCTGAGATTAGATCATATGATTAATGATAAATAAAAAATCAATATATAAATAAATAATTAATAAAAGAAAAACAATCACCACCATGAAGCATAAACAATTAATAAGATGATAATGATGGAGGAAAAAAAGAGCCGAATTCCTGACTAATAGTAATTATAACCAATAATAATGATGACAGATAAAAGATCAACTTTCAAGAGCCAATTCTTATTCAATTCATCCGGAAGAGACATGGTAATAAAACAGATAATAAATATATTAAAATATTATGGATGAACAATAAATATGAACTTTTTTTAAATCAATATTCAATCACAGGGAGGGAGAGAAAAACAAAAAAATTAGACTAATTATAAGTGTCACTGCATTTAACGGAGTCTGTGACACCGAAATCTCAGAAATTTTTTTATAAATACCCGAACAAAAAGTTCGTCCATAGAGTTGTCACTCTATCGTGACGACAGAATTGGTCTATTGGCTTTCTTTCAGAACAATTCCGATCAAAACTTTCAGTAGTATAAGAGTGTACCCCTTAAAAGCATATATTTGTTCAACTTGTGCTGCTTATTAAATGGTAATTTTTTCATTTCCTTTTCCTTTTAATGTGATTGCAATGATCCAGGTAGAGAGGGTAAAAAGATAGAATATTTAATATACATATTTATTGTTTTTCATTTATGAAAAGAAAGCCTTTGGGATTACCACGCCGGTAAACATGAAAAACAAATAGAAAATAAAAAGTTTCAATGTTAGTTCATGATGATACAAAGAAGATGAGCTTATTCAGCTTGCACGAAAAAACTGTATAAAAAGAAAGAGAATCATGATTCAAATTATCAGTTAAACATTAAACTTGAATAATAACTATTGAATTATTAATAGTTTAATCTTGTAACATCTTCAAACGATTGGATCATCTTATTAAGGTTCCTTGGGTTAAAGGGAGAGTTTAAAGATATATTTCTTGACTCACCACCTTTAACAGGGAAGTTTTGTACTAATAAAATTACTGATAGGTTTCAATGATGACTCCCTTTCGTAAAAAGCTGTGATACTATTTTTGAGTTAGAAGATTCATGTATCAAGTCATCAATTATTATACAGCCTCGAAAATTAAGATCGACTACACTTTTAAATGGAGATACGCATAGATGTGTTATCTTATCAATTTAGTAATGAATTTACATTGAAAATAGATAAGATATCACTTCTATGCGTATCTCCATTTAAAAGTGTAGTCGATCTTAATTTTCGAGGCTGTATAATGCGGACTTTTACCATCAATCTTATCAAAAAATTGTCTGGCAATCCTTTGATAAACTGAACACTTTCCATCTCGTTGAAGATTGGTTGGTACTCTGCATAAAAGTATGTTATCAATGTTGGAACTGGACTTATTGTTTTCTCTCTATTTTCAGTTAGTCTCTTCATCCACAATGATTTTCCACATCCACTGGGTACTGCCACAATCATTGTGAATGGGCGTCTCATGTATATTGAATACATGTTGTTCATTTCAAATCTATAATCACTCAAATAATCTTATATGATTCATTTAAAATTAGCATAAATTTTGAGACAAAGTTTCATGTATTAACCAGGACAGGAAATGTGCATTTTAAGTAATACTTGCATTTAAGTCGTACCTGCATTTAAGGGGTACACTCTTATACTACTACTTTCATATTTCTCTATCTATTAATGCAACGGCAACTTTCGGTAATATAATCTATTGATAGTAAGAAATATACAGGGCTATTCAACTTCATTTTACGCAGATTTTTAGTTATGAGTCAAGAACCAATGAGTTTAAAAAGATTAAACCTTGTACCTTATATCATATCGGGACTGAAGAACTTCGCATAAAAAGTTCCAAGGTCATTGAGGTCATTTCACGATAAATCTAGAGGCCATTTGAAGGTTTTTTGAAAAGAAGAACAAAAAATTATTCCATGGTCTAAATCATTGACAGTGTACCACGATTTATGTCAATTTGTATAACCGAGCTTATTGACACCAAAACTTCGAAGATGTGATACCTTTGTGTTGTTTGTTGTACCCCTGTTCATCATATAGTGTGTTTTGATAAAATTCTATTGCTTGATTGAACGGAGCAGGTTCTACTCCCTCAATGTTTGAAAATCAATCATTTCCCGTTTAAGCGCGACCGAGTCAACATTAAAAATACGATTTGACTTTAAAAAGTTAAAAATTTGTTGTAGATTTTGGGTGAATTTCAATGATTCAATGTGATCACTGATCAATAAATCAATAAATCAATTGATTAATTGATTTATTGACTAGTTGATTAATTGATTGATACATTAATGAATGAATTTATTGATATATTGAACGATTGATTAATCCATTAATTGGCTGATTGATTAATTATTTAATTTATTTATTTTTGTATTAGTTCATCACTAAAGGTGAAAGGCCAGCCCCGAAGGCAACCACATTCACCTTTTGGACTCACTTAATAAACTAAATCAACTTACCTCTTCTGAGGTTTAAACACAAATGAAATATTTTTACAATATTGTAAACAAATTTGTCGATAAAAAAGACAATTTAAATAGTAGTCTAAAATAATAATCTATAAAACAGCGAGGGAAACAATTTATTAATAAACTCTTTTAAAATCAACTAGAAAATCAATATAATTAACTAATGTATTAAAAAATTAACAATTAACTAATTAAACAATCACTCAATTTATTAATCGATTACATTAAACTCAAATTTAATTCTACATTTTATTGATTAATGTGATTAAGTTTTTATTTCTAAATGATTGAATTTTTGCTAAAGATTCTATTTATTAAATAAATTGATATAATTAAAATGATTAATTAGTGAATTGTTTAATTAATAAAATGTTTATCTAATTATTGATTGAATTCATATTAGCTCATCACTAAAGATGAAAGGGCAACCCCGAATGTCACCACACTCACCTTATGGGCTCGCATAGCCAGCAAAAGCAACTTACCTCTTTGAAGGTAGAAACACAAATGAAATAATTTTTACAATATTGGTCATCTACAATACATTGAGAAAAATAAAGAAATCATTTTTCGTTCACCTTTTATACTTATTCTAAAAAAGATAATTTTTATGACCGTAAAGAACTTATTTGTTTGCTTCAATAATTTAATGATCTTTATACCTGGTTGAATAAAAGTAATGATCATATAAGATCATTAAAAAACATTAAAATCATTAGTGTTAGATTTTTCTGAAAAAGGGAGAAAAATAAGGTTAATGGTGTGTTTCAATTTAAAATTAATGACTTCTCGCCTCCTTGAAGATGGGATGAGGATAAACAAAAAGTTAAAAATAAAGATGAAGATGCAGGTGAAATAGAAGTTGAAATGCACTCAGAAAACCCAATGTAAAACAAGAAATATAATCAGTTGGTATGAATTTCCCCTTCTCAATAGTTAGACTAATTATCAATAACTAATAATTAATCTTACACCATGGTAAGTGGAGGAGAGAGATAAAAGAAATTAGTAGGAAAGAAAGAAGAAAAAAATTTGGGTAGAAAGAGAAATAAGAAAAAAGAAAGGGTAAAAGGGGGAAGAGACAAAGGTAAAATGTGCCAAAGTCGTATGCTTTGCCCCTACTCCCACTTAAGATTTTTATTGTTTTTACCCTATTGAGCGATTAGAGAGTTTAATGGCACGTCCGGCGTAATGGCCAGGATTTAACCCATGTCATCGTGGACTAGAGTTCACGACACTAACCTTTCGGCTAGCAATTCACTTAAGGAAACTTTATTTCTACTATCGCCTAATCTAATTATATTTGTGGATTTAATTGTGATCTTTTCACGCTTCCAAGCTTCGTCTATTATTACTCATCGATTTAATTGTTTCTCTTCTACTCATCATTTTTTTGGTTTCAGATTAGATTGATCATCAATTAAATCTACACTTTCGTCATCTCTCTGGCTTTTCTTAATTTCTCGTCATTTTCATCATTCTCTTTTTTCTCTCACTTTTCTTTCTTTCTATAAAGATTAAATATAAATATAATAAATATTACGTAAAATATTAAACTGAAAATATACAACAATGAGGTAATGATATAAGAAAAAGTTGAAACGCCGAAGAATGAAACTAAATATTTTCTGATCAAATTTAATATTCTGAATCAAGGGATATAGTATAATTATAGTTAAATTTTTCCGTGGCCAACTGGCGGTTTTCCTTGAATTGAGGACAATTGATGGAAATAACTGAAAGTCCATTGGAACCACATAAATAACACCTCAATACATTTAATTCTTTGCTACATTTACTATAACTATTAGCATCTAAACAAAGTAGACATACAGTAGCTTCACGGCAATTCAAATCTCGATGCCCAAGGTGTCCGAAATTTTTACACAATTTAGTACTCAAATTATCATATAACGTGAACTCTTTATCTCCAAGCTTTATATTACTTATCTTAAGGTCATCTATACTCTTGCGTAAACAGGGCTCCACACTGAATAAAAGGATATCATAATTAACACTAAGCATAGTAATCTTAATGCTGTTTTCTTCCCTGACTATACCGGGTGCCCGATATGGTGGATCTCATTCCCTTCTCTTTTGTGTTTTAAGTTTATCCAGGTGGCTCGAATCAACTATTTTAAATAACGCCAGAATCTTTAATCAGAATCAAAACATTAAAATCTTTTTACCAGTATCTCTCTATTACAACCCAAATAACTAGACTTTCAATCTCGATCAATAAATTAAAACTTCAACCTTAACCAATTAGAAGCTTATAGCGATAGTTAGAATTTTAATTTCAATCTCAATAATTAGTTGTCATCTTTATTGTCACAGCCAGGTAGCCTGACTTAACAAACAATTTTACTTTATTTCCTTTTTCCTCTCATTATCATTTTCACACAATCCAAATTATAAAAAGTTAGTCATTAACCAACTTAGGAAGTTATACTAATAACAATGACAATTAATTCAATAACCATAATCAATAAGTAATTGATAAATATTCGAAGTTTAATTCTCAGGATAATAAAATGATTAAAACTTCCACCGGAAAATAGATTCATTAAACAATAGATAGAAAAGTGACTCACCTAATCAAACTAGTACAATGTATAGTGTATAAAAAAAGTAACAAGCGAAATGATCATCATCAGAATGTCTTCATCACTCTGAGTTTTTACATCTCTTGAACAGCCAAGTTAGTTCTTAACTTTTATTCTTAATGTTCAATCAGTTTTCTTCTTTCCTTCTTTCAAATAAATAAAAATACTTTGCTAACGTGACACTATCGAT